TGTTTTGCCATACTGATAGTAATTAATAGTGAAATTATAAAATATTCTCCCTATTTTTCTGACCTCCATTCTAGAAGTGAGTTTCTTTGCTTCCTTGAAGCTGTCTTGGGCCCTCAGTGTTGTGGGGTTAAAAAAAGCTCTAGGGGCTGGGATTGTGGCTCAGTGATAGAGTGCTCACCTAGCGTGCATGAGGCACTGGGTTCGATCCTCAGCACTACATAAATGTAAAATAGAGACATTGTGTCCACCTAAAACTAAAATACATATATTTTTAAAAAAGCTCTAAAATGCGTTCTCTCCACAGACTGGAAATAGATTTTCAAAATCTGCAGTCTAAGCTTTTGGGAAAAGAATTATGCCTGTGACTCTGTAGCTTTAGAAACTTTCCCGTAACACATTCTGTTAGCATAAACTAAACTCTTCTTTGGGTGCCATAGTGAAATTGCCTCATAATCTGGTAATATTTTTTTTTTTTTGTATGCTGTGGTAAAGGATTTAGTTGTTTCAAGTCTTTACACGTTTTCAGTAAGTGCTTTGTTACTGGTTAAATGTTCCTAATAATTTAGTAAAAAATTTCTGTTAATTGATAGAGTTCCCCCCCCCCATATTTAATTAGGTCTCTGATGGGCAGATCAACAATTAACATTGTACAGATTTTAGTTTTTAAATTAGTGAAATTGGGTAATGGTTTATGCCATCTGTCTGTATATGTGGCACCTAAAAATGTCCTTGGATGTGTTCTGAGGTGCTCTATATCTTAGTAACCTGTGTAGTGCAGTGGAAAGAGTACCACTCAAAGTGGGGCCTGAGTTTGCATCTAAATGCATGGGCCAGTTACTTAACTTCTCTAAACTTCCATCTTTCTCACACATAAAAGAAAATTGTAGTGAGAATTAGAGGAGTAAAGTCTGTAATGTACCTAGCACAGAAATTGCCTCAGTTCATCCAGGGAAATGAGTGGAATGTGTGTACAGAAGTTAAAATGGCTTATATGTCAAAGTAATAGGACAGACCATCTCACTTCCATTTTAGGGCTCTGCTGAGTTTCTGCATATGCCAAAGACAAGGCCTCACGTAATGTCCAGCAAGAAATTTCTAGCAAAGATCTAATCTGTTTGGTAAAACAACTGCCTAGTTTAATAGTCCTAGGATATTTAGCTTTGATAGGAGGAAGCAGATCTAAGATTATTAAATGTTTCAGGTGATGGCGAGATGTTTCTATTTGAATATTTTGTAAAACAGAAAAGAAAACAGGGACATATTGATTGATTTTAACTATGTTGGGAGTCTCCTCTTAAAATGTAAGCAGTAGGGCCCAAAATCTGTAAGCAAATCTTTGACCACCCCTGGTGAACTCAGCACTCCAGGATGTTTCAGAAACCACCAGTCAAGTAAAAATACCCCTAATTTCCTGAGATCAGCCCTACTGCTTATTCTTGAATATGTGATAGAAAGATTTATCCTCTGTGATGTCAAAACCCTGTAACAGTAAAAGCTAACATTTGATTTTATGATTACCCTATATAAATTAGTTAATCCATCAAGCCATGATGTGCTTTTAACAGGGTATTCACTAATGTTTTATCTCTGTGCCACCCCTACCCCCTTCACCATTATTAGATGTCCCTCTGGCTTTCTGTAGACAGTTTTGAAATGCCACCGCCCAGGCCACCAGCTTCATATGTTACTCCTCTAACTTTTCTGTTTTCATTACTTTGTTTTATAATAAAGTGCTTTGTCCTGATGTAATCTGTGCTTTTAAAATTACCACGAACATAGTAAAAATGCCATTTAGAAATCCTGCAGACTGTTCTAAGAGCATTGGTATCACTCTTGGTTACCGTTAAAAGAAGCTATGTTTTCTTTGGATTAACCCTACCCAGTTTCCTTTTTCTTCTTTTAATGCTCAACAGAATACTGAAGGTAGTTAGTCACCACTCTCCAGCGTGCACACATTGCTGCTTTGGTTTACTGCCACAGGATAATCTTATAGACATCACTGATGGCCAATCAGAAGCAGTTAAATTACCTTAAATTTTTTTAAAAAATGGAACTCTGACAACCAATAAGAAATCCTTTGGGTGGGAACTGTAACGACCTTTTCCTTTGATTTTAAGGACAATTCTAAATTTGCAGTATCCTGTTTTGGAAGCACATGAGGCCCTATTACATCTACTGTATGCATTTGCAGGCCATTTCCAATCCTTAAGTTCCTGGTAGTTTGAAGTCTGAATCTGACCCCTGTTCTGCTTCTCAAGGTAACTTTAAAACAGGAAGTGTACAAAGGAGGTAACTGATGACGTGAACAGCCAATCGTGGCTTTGTGTTCTTAGCTGATAAAGCAGCTCAGCCAATGGGATGGCTCTGGAGGCAAGGTTTGGTGTCAAATAGCAGGCTAGATTGAATGCCTTTGACTGTTAAAGTGGAAGGAGGCTGCAGGGTTTCATTGGAGCCTCGGAGTTTTTCACTGAGGCAGGGGTCAGCTGAAAGACAAAGAAAAATGGCGAATAGTTTGTTGGGGGGTGGGAGGACAGCTGTTCGGGTTTTCACTGGAGTGGACATTCCAGACTCAGGTTTCTGCATCTCCTGCTGCTTTTGTTTCCTCCGTCCTTTTGGGGGGGGAGGGATAGGAGTGACTTAAATTCTCCCTGTCCGAGGAGATATAAATAACTACATGTAAAATTAATGCAGTTCCCGGTAAGTTTAATTCTTTGTTTTGTGTTGAAATGATAGAAACTGTTTAGCTTCAGAGAGTGTAGACAAGTTGCACTGTTTCAGAAAATGGCCACTTTACATTCCAGGCATACCTTTTGGTGCACCTAGAATACCTTGCTGGGTTTAGATTTTGCATGTCCTTCAACTAGGATTTCTTTTCCTAGTTGAGTATTGACAAGATCAGGTACAATAAGAACTAATCATTTTTCAGGGGCACACGGAAGCATAGCACTTTCTTTTTTGCATTGGGTAAACTTAACTGTTTTCCAAATAATTTTCCTTTGTTCAAGTGCACTGAAGCTTTCCTACAGGATAAGCTGAGGTTTTGTAAGAGTTTTCCTATTTCCGTGCACTTTATTGACATCTGTGTTTTCAGAGAGAAGCCACACTATGGCTATTCGAAATTTGTGTGAAAGTAGGATTTGCACTGATGCAGGTTCTTAGGGTGAAGGCCCACATGCCAACGTGAAATTCTCCCATAACTTTCTTGATCTACCTGTCTGCCTCTAGATTCTCTTAAGTATTTATTTATATAGTATTAATACTTGTTTTAAAATGCACATTTTAGCTTAGAATGCCGGTTAAAAACATATTCTCCAGTTACATTGGCAGTGACAAAAGCAAATCGTTTTCTACTAATTTCAAACATTTTGTCAGATGTTGGTTTGGTTCTTTAAAATATTAGAAAAATGATTTTCATTTTCAGCATGAAATATTTAAAATCCTAATTTATCTGCATTTTGTAAATAGCAAAGTTAGCACACTATCTTTTGCCCTTGATATTTTTCCCCCTTTAGGGGTATGGAGCTAGGTTGCTAATTAGCAACCAGTCAGTTCTTGTGAATAGGGAAATATTTGATACCATGTACTAAGATTTGTAAAACATATGATTTAAAAGATAAATTCTTTGTTTTCTTTTTATTTGAAAACATGGGATGAAGGTCATTGGAACATTTCTGCAGCAGACTCAGTGTGAAGTAGTGAGCCAGCAGCACTCTGTGGATAGGGAAAAGGAGCAGGCCCTATTAAAGAAGTTTGGAGGGTGTTGATCTGCCTTCCCTTGCTTCTCTTGAGTAAAGGATTTACCTGAGAGGATCCTTGGGGTTTTAGATTTTGTGTTCTTCTAGTTGGGGCGGTGTTAACACTCATAGTTCCAGGATGCAGGCCTCTGTCGTTGCTCAGAAAAGTGACCTTGAAAAACTGCCGAGGAGTTGAAAGATTGAAGGACAAAGTTTGTTTATACAGATTTGGACTGAAAAGCTCTATTTAAGATGAAAAGAGACTGTACTTCTGATGTTCAGGTCCAATGGTTAGTAGGAATCTGTTATAGATTCAAATTATGAGTTTTTAAGCAATCAGACAATGGGGCTGCATTCATTCTCTCTCCCACTGTTCTTTCTTCCCTTCCCCCAGCAAAAAATTCTAAATCCTTCTGGTATGATAGTTGAGTGAACTGCCTAGCAGATTCAGAATTCTTTGCACGCCACCATCTAGAGAGTTCTTAGTGAAGAATGGTATTTCAGGAGTTGAAAGTAGTTAATTTGTGAAACTCCTTTTGGAAGATTGGAATGCTATGGTAAGAAAATATTCATTCTGAGAATTTAAGTCCTAAGAAAAATATGTGTTAAGCATTACATTTTAAAGTGTAATTGCTTTAATTTAAATGTGTTTTATACTGATTTACATTTACATTTCAGGTTTTATATATGATTTTAAAGTAGTTGTAGATACTGAGTGACCTTATTGACTCTGGGACAGGAAAGGGAGGTAAAAGTAAAAGTGGGGTACAGTATGAAGCCAAGATAAAACTCTTTATAAACTTGACAACTTTGCAGATTTAGCTGTTTAGAAAAGCATCTAGCCTAGATTCTTCACCCTTTTAGGGTCAAGGACTCTTGGAGAATCTGATCCACTACCTGGTAAAGTTGACATAGGCAAGCCCATGCAAAGCCTCTGATGACTTAGGATATTTTCTGGTGTTTCCTCATGTTGAATGCTGTTTATATGATCCTCTCATATAACAGTTTAGACAGGTAAATGTTTCCTAGAGAAATGAAGAAAACTATTTCTAGAAAGAGCAGAGTCCTTCTAGAGCTGATTATAATTTTGACTGGGGGGTATATGGGAGAGGCTTAGATGGAGTCTGAGATTTGGACCGGTGTTTACTCTGGTAACAATATTTTGAAGCAGCACAATGCAAGCCATTTAAAGTCAAGAGACCTGTGTTCAAGTTCCATTCAGTTCTATTGCCAGCTTTGTGACCTGGGGTAAGTCAGCCATTTAATGTCAGCTTTCTCATGTGTAAAAAATGAATCTAAGAATAGCACCTTCTTATTTAGAGAGTCTTGAATGAGATCATGTATGTCAAGGGCTTTGAAAATTATTAATTGCTGTATAAATATTATTTGTATTAATCTAAACTTATTGGAGAAAATTGTGGCATCAAAGGAAACAATTGTAATATTTTAATATGTTTACAAAGAGGTTTGATACATATGCCTTCACTGCATGTTCCTATTTATGCTAATAGGACCCCCTCTATTTAATGCATATATGGAGATCACCAAACCTTTATTAAGGGTTCTATGAAAGAATTTAAAACCCTTTGTCAAAAATTTAAGGGCCCCAGAATAAGATGAAGTGGGAGTACTTTTTTATAGCATTAGATTTAAGAACCTCTCAGAATAAAAACTGAACGTCTGTTCTGATTGGATACTGAGATTTGAATTATAATGCAGGTAAATTGTAATGGTTGCTTGGTATTTACCAAGCAGAGGTTACATTTTTAGTTTATGCACCAAATATTTATAAAGTAAACTGAAGCCATTTTTTTGTTTGCTTTGTAGTCATATGATCTTTATGTGTTCAGGTTTGGGAGATAGTTATCGCTTGCAGGGTAGTAGCAAGCGAGTCAGTGTTGGGATGAAGACTTAAAAACATTGATCCCACTAAAATCTGAGTGTTACTGTGAATTTCACACTGTGATACTGTGAGATACCTCTCTAACAAATGGTGGAAACCCATGTCGGTTTCTTTCACATCCATTTTACATGCCTAGGGTTCTCTATTTTAGGACTTCCTCACTGCTCCTTTTCCCCTGCTGTGGGGTTGATATTTTGTGATCTACTTGATTTCTTATCCTATAAGTCACTTCTGTCAGTCATCATTAATGTCTTCCTCCTTTCCGAGTATTGAAAGAATCATACTTAGAATGAGATTTGGCAAAATTTGCATTGGCCTCTCCAAATTAAATTTCAGTTCCAGGGATGTGTGTGTCAATAATCATGATCACGGTGGGTTTTTTTTCCCTAAAACAAAATGAGGTCTCCATTTAAAGAAGCTGTATACTTTTGTTGGGGCTTCAGAAACATTCTTGAAGCTGATCATAGTCGCCTTCGTGAATCACATTATTTTTGCCCATTTCTATCCCTAATGATACAGAGTTTTGAATAGTCCTAAATTATGCTGATGGAAATAATTTAGGGACCTAGTCTATTTCCTTTCTTTTCCTCTTTTGGTACTGGGGATTGAACTCAGGTGTTCTTTGCCACTGAGCTACATCTCTACTCCTTTTTATTTTTTATTTTGAGACAGGATCTCACTAAATTTCTAAAGCTGATCTCCAACTTGCAGTCCTCTTATCTCAGCCTCCCGAGTCACTGGGATTATAGTTGTGTAGCACTGAGCTCCACTTGGTTCTTTTCTTGTAAAAGGGAAATCGAGGCCCAAAGAGATTAGGTGCCCTTATTAAGTAGGGTCTTTCAGCTTTTATGTGGTGGTTGGACTGTGCAAGATCAGAGATTTCAACTCTCTCTCAATTCATTGCATGTTCATTTTATTCCTCTAGGTTTTTACTTTTTGTCTTCTATGTTTTGTTTTCTTTTGGTATATCCATACAGGCTTACTATTTGGATATAGAAGGAACAGAGAGAAAAATAGGCCATGGAGGAGGTTCAGAGGTTTCCATATGGAATCTGTTAGTTAAGAAAGTCTGCTGTGGCAGCAGACTTAGCATCCCTTTTGGGATCTGAAGATCTCTTGCCTCAGCCAGTTCCTTATTCAAAAAAGTGAAAATTAGCTAGGAGGCTAATGGTGCCCACCTGGCTGAGATATTCCAGAGAGTTAGGTTTCTTTTATGCTGTACAAGGAAGTGAACAAAGCTACAGACAACACCTGTATGCCAATTAGAGTTATTTAATTATTCTATTAATACACTTCAAGAACAAGTTTGTCCTAAAATAACTTTGGGTCTAGTTTTTCAAATAAGTCCTTAAGCTAATCTATATTTAATAAAACAAAGATCCCAAGGTCATGTGAAGTATTTGACAAGGTTAAAATAGAAGTCACTGTTTATGTATTCCCCAAGTTATATTTTAAATGATGCTAACTTTACTTCTTCCCACTAGCAAAGTGGTATTTAGTTTGTGTATGTGTTCATGTGTATTGGGGTAGTTGTGAATTTTGGGGTTTTTTTTTTTTGCAAATTTTGAAAGACTGTCTTGAAAATAATTTTAAATTTTCTTATCACCTTCATCATTTGAACAAAAGCCATTGAAAATTATGACACAGTTAGATGACATGTAACTCATGTCTGCATTACACAAAAGTTTCAGTTTTCTTTTCACTGCATCAGCATTGGGCCCAGCTCATGGGGACTTGGGTTCAGATTCTATCTGTGGAATAGAATCTTATCTCTCTATTTCTCCCCATGGCCTACTGTTCAATAGCTTTCCAAAAGTTTTTCTTAGAGTATTATAAAAGGGGCGACTGAAGGAAAAAAGTGAAGATACATTCCAATATAAAGAAAGAACCAAAGAGAAAAACACCTTGTAAATGTTTAACTTTAAAGTGCATAACATAGCTTGTGACCTTGTGTTACTTAGTTCAAAGGAAGAAAAAAGACTAAAATAAAATGACCGTAGCAAACTATAGTGCTGATTCACATAGTTATCCTTTATTCTTGGAAGTACTGTCATTTTGGTTCATCTCCATGGTTTCAATTACATAGAAAACTAAAGGAAAGATCTGCTTGACTGGAAATATCCAGATAAAATTAATTTTTTCTTTATGTACCTAAGCTATATAATTTCTACCTTGAGGAAAGTTGGATACTTTATACTTTTTTTCATCAGTTTACTATACATGTGGTTTTTATGTGGAGACTTAAGAAATGTATACATGAGGCTGGGGATGTGGCTCAGTGGTAGAGTGTTTGCCTGGCATGCATGAAGGCCTGGGTCTGATCCTCAGCACACACACCCCCAATATATATGTGTGTGTGTGTGTGTGTGTGTATACACACATATATTATGTACAATATGTACATACATACACACGTTTACAAGTAAAATTTTACTCAGGATCTAACAATCGGTAGGGAATACTGATGTTGTATATCAAGTGTTAGAAACTGATCTGAAAGGTGCAGGTAAAGCACACACAATTCAGAAGAAGGAAGACCTTGCTTTAGAAATAAGGAGGGCAGTTTAACTGGGTGTTGGACTTACAGAGATAAGAACTAGGACATTCTGGGCATGGGGAATAGCAGAAGCAAGGTCAAGATTCGCAAAGTGTAGCTTGGGCTGAAGAGAGCAATAAATGAGCCACTCTGTTGAGAGCATAAGGAAATGAGTTAAGGACAGGAATGGGTAGAAAGAGAAAGAAGTCTGGAGAAGTTGGGAGGTCTTGACTGTTCACATATGAACAGTCTAACTTTGGTGACCATTGACTAAAGAGTAGTAGACTATCAGAGCTGTGCTGTTTTAAAATTTATTACATATCCTTATGTAAAATGAATTTGAATAGAAGATGCTAGAAACTTACATGGAGTTGACAAGGGCCTGAAGAGAGATAGTGGCAGTATGAGAAAAGGTCAGGAGATGGACACTGTTGCAACACTATTACTACAGAATTAGGCAGTTGACTAGAATTAAGAAACAGGAGAAAGGATTCCAGGAGATTTCAAGCCTGAGTGACTGACAGAAACAAAAAAGTTAGAAGGAGCAAGTTTGGGGAAGGAAGACAGATTTGAGTTTGGGCATGGGGCATTTCAGTTCTGGGTAGCTTTGTGGTTGGAAATGTCAGGCAGTTTATACATTCAGGATTGGACCTTTGGAGAGATATCAAAATTAGTAATGTATATTTGGAATTTAAACTCATAGAAGTTGTAGCTGAACCTGGAGGTTAGATGGGAAAGAATTAAGGGAGAGAATGGACCGAAGAAAAAAACTTCATGGCAAAGATGGAAACAAAAATGGTTAGACTCTAAAGTTAGAAATCCAGAAGCACACTCATTGGCATCTTCTAGGTCAGTGTTGTTAAGTTGTTTTGATTGTTTTCAGAGTGAGCAGCTCCCATGTGGAAGTTGTGTGTGTGTGTGTGTTTAATTTTAGTTGTTGATGGAACTTTATTGTATTTATTTATTTAGATGTGGTGCCAAGGATCAAACCCAGGACCTCATACGTGCTAGGCAAATGCTCTGCCACTGAGCTACAACCCTAGCCCATGGAAGTTGTGTTCTTATTCTCAAAAGTAACTTTTGTTCATTTTGTTCAAAACTAGAGAAGATAATTCTCCTTATTCAGTTAGGAAGGTAAAGGTGTTATTATTAGCCTACATCTTCCTTATAATAATTTGAGCACTGTGTGTACATGATTCATAATCTTAAATGAATATAAGTTCAGGCTAAAATATGCCAGAAGCTAAAATTTTCTGTCTGTGTCTTGACATGTGAAAGATTAGAGAAATAACAGCCCCTAGAATCTCATGGCCTTCACTTGTTCTGAAGATGCACAGATATTTCCTTGAGATCTTATTCAGTAGTTCTTTGAGATTAGATTGTGTGTGTGCACATATCATCATCTAATGCAAGGATTAGATTTCTGAATTGCATTGCAACTTAGCAAGACCCTGTTCGAAAATAAAATATAAAAGAGGGCCTGGAGCTGTGGCTCAGTTGTTAAGCATCTTTTAACTACATTCAATCCCTAGTAATAAAAAATAAGAAAATAAGTATGTAGGAATTTGTCAGTCTTAGAAAATAACTTATAGCCACATGATCATGATAATACCAATGAGTAACACATACAGTTTATTACCAGGAATGGGACTAGCCTCATACAGCAGATTTACCAATATTTTTCAGTATAAGGAACCTATATTTGGTTTCTAGGCTAAGTATGTTGTAATTACCTTCAATCTAAAGTAAAGAATGAATGAATAAATAAATAAAGATAATAAGAAACTTTTTACTAGAGAAATAGTGATAAATTTCCAGCCATCTTGCTTGGTTATTTATATATCTTCATCTCCATGATTATTTTCTTTGGTTAATTAGCTGGCAATGCGGATGCAGTACTCCTGAAGGTAGTTAAGCTGTGTAATAGTATATGCAATATTTATGTTAAGCATAGTACTGTGCAGTTAACAATGTAATTTAGTACTCATTCTCTTATATGGTATTTACCTAACGTATGTAATAAGGATTATCATCCTCATTTCGAGGGTAAGGAAACAGGAGGCAGAGTGGGATGACACTGCACTGCACCTTGTTCTGTATATTAATGAATAGTTTATAACTATCTGTTTAATGAGACTAATTCCTCCTCTCACCTTCCCTTTTCTCTGCATCTTTTTTCCCTAAGAGGCACACATTAAAAAAAAAAAAAGGTAATTCCTCTAGAGTTCTCAGTCTTACATTATATGTCTACTTATATATACTTATTATATATACTTATTATAACAGGAAAAAATACATTGTCAAATTGATTTATTTTTAAAGCTTTTGTCAAAAAGGGTGATCAGAGCCACTTTTCAGAACAAATCATTGTACAAATGGAGTTTTGCACAATGAGTATTACCAATGTTTTTGAAATTGCCTTTCATATTCCTCAATTCACTCAAGTTGAATAAATAGTTAGATTATTTTTTTCAAAATAGATAAATGGCTAGAGTTAGGAGTTCTGTGGTGTCCCTTAGCTATGCATATGCACATTTTGTGGTATGTATTAGACAGCTCCTAAATTTGTATTCTTGACTTGAAACACAGATTGATATTTTTAGGTGAGTCATATTGTTTTTAAATAATCAGTTGTTTCAGGTTTTCTAGTTGTGATTTATAATACAAACTTTGCTTTACCGTCTAGTAAGGTAGTTAGAACAAAGGAATTCTGATTTCTTGGAGTGAACATTGTCAGCTCTATTCACAATGTAGCAGTAATTATAACTTTGAAAACTAAATAGAGTTTAACTGGGTGATTCCTATTCTAAGTGTGCAACTTTAGAAGTACCTCCAATAAGATTATTGGGCTAAGGATGTTCTGAACTATAGTGAAAGTTTACCAGGTCCCCCAAAGTGAACTGAGTTTAGGTGGTCTAGTTCCACTCCTTGAAGAAAACTACAGTTTAACAACCTTAAGTTTTCCAGTTTTAATTTTTCTGCCTTGAAACATGTAGGAATCTTGCATTTTGGCATTTTAGAGTCCTTTTTTCAGCACCGCCCCCCTTCTCTTTCATCTCCCCCTAACCCCAAGCAGAGGGCAGAATTCACTGTGTGTGAGTCAGCAGAATCTATACAGCTGAATCAATACAACTAGGCTCATATTGACATTCTTCTAACACCCTCCAGGTTTTTAATTGAGAATTCTCTACCTCCCCACAGATTTTAGAATGATTAACTCACTGATAGAATTCTCTATTTTCCAGTGCAGCCTTATATTAGATAATGATCTATATTTGTGCTACATTTTCTAAAGTAGAGCATGTTTTCTATCCATCCCCACTTATTTAGTCTTCCATTGGATTTCTGTACAAAGATTGCTGTACAACTGAACACAGGTACTTAAGAATGTCCCTATTTGCAAATTTCAAAGAAAAGAACACAGAGTGAGGCTAAGAATTTGTGAGATCTTAAAATAGTTCTTGAGGAGCTTGTGTTTGGTCATTTAGTAGATGTGCATTAAATCCCCACTATGTGTAAGTCATGTTTGCCTTGAGGATGTGCCAGAAACAGTTATGTAAGAACTGGGGAGAAGATATGAGTTGGAAATTTTAGGCTTAAAATACATGTCAAAATCAATATGATACAAGTCTGAAAATGCTACTTACAGAAAGAAACAAAATTTATTTATTTATTTATTTTGTGAAATAGATTAGATTAGATTCCAGGAACGGTTTCTTGGGGAGGAAAAAAAAAATGAGCTTTCACTACTAAATGTTTAATTTTCTTACGATTGTACTTAAAGGCAAGCTTCTTACCAATGCAATTCCCCCCAACACCTTAAACATTGGTTATTATTCATGAAATGGTATCAAAAATTGCTGTTTTTCAGGATATGTTTTCCCTACTCCAGAATCTTGGAGAAATGGAATCAACAGAGCTCTAGTCAAAGCTCAAAACAGAATCTTTTGTTTGGATGGTAGGACCAGGTAGGAGGGTGGGGAGCTGCCCTGAACTCCACTTTTTCCATATCTTCTACAAGACAAAACATCCATATACTTCTAGTTTATGAAAGTTTGAGGTGTCAAAAGAATCATGTTCTAAGAATTTAAATATTTTTGGATTATTCTGGAGGGAAAAAATCTCCATAGCTACTGATCATTGATGTTCCTAGGGATTTAAATTTGAAGCATTCCCACTCATTTTCAGCTTTAGTTCTTTGCTTATATGGAACTTGAACATTCATTCTAAATTTAGTAGTTTAAGGGACTTTTAAAATTATTTCATATTTATAAAAAAGATGAGAGAAGATCTTTCTCTGTTTTAATAGTATTAGTATTTCCATGTATCTGAAATGTTTTTTAAAGGAAATACAAATGATTAAATTATTTTAAATTATTAAATGATTAAAAAGAAAGCAAGTAATTTCAATGATAGAGATGAAGAAGCTAGCTGGGTCATTTGCTACAAGTCCTTAGGCTTGGTAGTGTACCTGGGACTGTTCAGGCCAAAAGTAGTCTTATCCACCAATTCTGAGCAGTAATGATGATATGCCATCTGACATTTCTATGAAGCTCAGTGTTTTCTGAGACCTTCTGACATGCATTGTCCTGTTTGTGTGTTGTGACTGATGAATAGTGGCCCTAAAAAGTTAAGTGATTTGCTCAATATCATAAACATATAGTTGGCCAAAGAGGAAGACCCCCAGATCTGATAGTTTATTTAACCTTGAACTCTACTCCCCCCCCCCCCCCAAGTGGAGTATTCAGAAGTACTGCTGATCCAGCTAAAATCATGCAACTGTGTGGAAAGAAAGACAAAGGAGAAATAGGGAAAGGTTGCTTATATGATAGGGCATAGTGTCATTAGCACTTTTCTTCTGTGATTGCCACAGGGATGTTGGGAACAAGTGGATAAAAATGATCTTTTGGGCTAAGGACTTTCAAGTCAGTGATTTCAGCTAAGATCACCCTACTCTCTGAACAGTTTGAATATACATCACCTTAAAACTGCAAAAAGTAAGAACGAACTAACTAAAGAACAGAATTTTAGAGGCTTTATAGTGCTGTCTTCACTACTTACTATATTGTGGCCTTAAGCAAGTAGTAACTTAAGGTACCCATTTCTCAGCCTTATGTATAAAAATTAGAATGATCTTGATAAATTTATGACCGAATTAAGTAAAGACCAATTGAGGGTAATTTATGTGGCAAGTAGTTTGTAAAATCTGAACCTCTTTAGTTGGCATTTTCAAAACATTCTTCAGAATTACACTTCTCACTTTTCCTGGTCACCCAAACACAGCATACTGCCAGAAACCAAGCAAGAGGTTATTTGTAAACCTCAGAAGGAACCAAGGAAGCAAAATGGCTCTTTGTTCTAGGATACAAGTTAACTTAGGCTACAAGCTGTTTCTATCTCTAGCTCATGTTAGAGTTCCCTTTCAGTATTGGGGCCTGAAAAACCAGTTATTCTCCATTCTTCCTGCAAGAATGTATTTACTCTCATTAGACTGGAGGGGCAAAGAGATTCAGATTTATTTCTGTGGGGCAAAGGATGTTGGCTGAGCTCACTGTTAATGGGGGGAGATAGGGGAGCCATATAACAGTTGTGTGATCAAGGCACACTTTTCAACTTCCGGTGCTCAGTTTCCCCATTAGTAAATATGAGATAAAACACTTAACAGGGTTCTAAATATTATATGATCCCTTTTCTTTAAGGGGCCAGATGATATTTTAGATTTTGCAGGTTGTATGGTTTCTGTTGTAACTCATAGCTAATGAGGATTGCTGTATTCCAGGGAAATGTCATGTACTATGGGCCACATATGTCTTGTGGGCTGTAGTTTTTTGAATCTTGCTTTAGAATGCTTCACTAAATATTTGGTCCTTGTATACCACCCTGCATAATACTAATAAACACGTTTTATTGCTGACATATGTGCAAGAATGATTTGAATTTGAGTATTCACGAAATCATGAAGAATAAAGTGTGAAGTAAGATGCATGCATACTATTTTCTGTTCCATAAAAACAAATTTTAAATGTTCTGTTCATGCTTTTCTATCACTTAGTGTTGCATATACCAGTTACTGTGCCTTTATTTCCTCCTTATTATATCACACCTGTGCTATTTGGCCCCTGTTGCAGTAGATAGTGAACAGAAACACGTTTTTGAAGGAAAAGAGGCTCTGTTTCTAGTTTGAAAATGTCCTTGTGAACACATCTTGAAGAACAGTGTCAGCCAGTTCCAATCCTTAGTCTTTGAGGAAGCAGGGGTATCCAGTAGGTACAGTGAAAAGCAGCTTCATTCTTGGCCTCATGGAATTGGAGACTCTTAAACATTGAACTGGGCATTAATCAGAGCTGGGGAAAGTAAGACTACATTATTCATTTTTGGGATGAGAACTATATAATAGCCTGCCAGTATGACCAGCTGATGCCCAGCTATGTAAGGGTTTAGAATGTAAGCAATAAGGTTTCTGGCACTAGGCTTAGAGCTTTCTTGTTTAAATAGAAACCTTATATGAACTTAAATAAAAAGAGTATTGCATCCTCTTTTCTTTCTAGTCACACTGCTTTCCCTTGTATCCATTCATGTGTTGCATATTCAAGTAGTAAGTGAGTAAAACTTTCTTACTAGGCCATTAGAGACCCTTAAAATATATGTGTTCAGTTTACACAGTTTTAGAAGTAGCAGCTTAGAAGAGTGACTGGCCCAAGACCACTGACTTGGCAGGAGGCCAGTGCACAAACAGGTCTTAATTTCCAGAGCAGTGGTTTTTTTTCCTTCTGAAATTGTCATCTTGAGGTTGATTTTGTTAAGGTTTGAAATGCTATCTAGCCATTGTGATTGCTAATGGCATATGTCCTAAGTTCTATCTATATAAACATCAAATTGTTGGTGGAATTGTTTGTTTTGAGTGTCTCAGTCCTCAATTTTATTTTTCACGTTTTTTGGTAGTTTGGAAGAATGTCTAAAGTCACAAACCCAAATTAGTTTAAATCCTGTCCCCCTTTCTTCCTTATCCACCTGTTTATTCATATTAACATTCTTTTCTCTTTATCTCTCATTCACTTTTTTAAAGATAACATCTCAGTAGTTTTATCTGATTCAAATGAAGAGAACTAGAGCTAATAATATCAATGGATACCTGAATAGTATTGAAACATAAAATGCTTTTGACAGTTACAGAGGAAGACTATTCAAAATTCAGCTCAGAAAAAGAGAATTAAGAAGATAAGTACTTTGAACATAAGGAAATACTTGTTGACATGCAGGAATGGTAATACTTCATAGCCTAAAGGCTTATTATAGCCTTGCAAGTTGGATAGGCAAATATTAAGGGGAAAGGATGGTACTAGCACTTAGGATTGATTCCCAGTCAGTCCTGGGCTAAGATTTGTTTGCATTTAACAGTGAGAATATTATTTTTACATAATACTTGTTGCCCAGGATGGGTACTTTAATATAGGGAGCAGCATTAGTCAAGAATTGGACTTTATTTTATAGGAGCTTCCTTTGGTCTTCTTTCCTTGAACAGTTATTGTGATGCAAACAATATCTATTTGGTTTTAATTACTTTAGAGAGCTGTTTTGTAGATTTAGGCATATTATAAAGGACTTTGCTATAGAGAATGAAGTACATGCCAAGGAATAGAGAGATAAAGCCTGAAGGTACAGAGTTTTTAGAAACCAGGTTTATTTTTTGCAGTAAAGCCTAATTTCTTTGTATGTTATAAGGTTGGTAATTTTGGTACATCCTATTCTGTACCCAGACATATCACTAAGGGAAGATTTGATGAGCATGGTACCTTTAAGAACAAAAACCTATTTTGGGGATATTATAAAAACTGTTATATCTCTTTTTCTTTCTTGAAAAATGATGAAGAGCAACTGATATTAGAGTGATAACTAGATTGTCCACTCTTTTTTTTTTTTAAGAGAGAGAGAGAGAGAATTTTAATATTTATTTTTTAGTTTTCGGTGGACACAACATCTTTGTTTGTATGTGGTGCTGAGGATCAAACCCGGGCCGCACACATGCCAGGCGAGCGCGCTACCACTTGAGCCACATCCCCAGTCCTGTCCACTCTTTTTTTATATTTATTTTTTAGTTGTAGTTGGACACAATACGTTTATTTTATTTATTTTTATGTGGTGCTGAGGATCGAACCAAAGGGCCTCACACGAGCTAGATGAACGCTCTACCGCTGAGCTACAACCCCAGCTAGATTACCCACTCTTAAGTGGTCTGTTTGAATCATCTTACTCCATTATTTTCTTCATTTTCCTAATCAATAGCCAGACAGAGGTAGTTAGTATTTAATCTCTTCCTCCTACTTAACCCATTGTCATTAATTTTTCTAACTTTGCCCATCTATCCTGGGTAGAACTGAAGAACTTCTGGCTTTCAGAAGACTTACACTTGGGCATGGCACATACCCCATTTCCAGCCTCTCTTTTTTTTCTTTTTGGTATTGGGGATTGAACTCAGGGGCACTCAATCACTGAGCCATATCCCTAACTCTATTTTGTATTTTATTTAAAGACAGGGTCTCACTGAGTTGCTCAGCACCATTCTGTTGCTGAGGCTGGCTTTGAACTCCTGCTCCTCTTGCCTCTGCGTCCCAAGTTCCTGGGATTACATGCGTGTACCTCTGTGCCCAGCCATTTCCAGCCTTTAAAGCTGCCTTGCAAATTCTAGGACCTTCTTGCACATGTGTATATGTATGTGTATGGTTCTTTCTGTCATCCCTTTTATCTTAAATCCACTTTAGTAAGTCAGCTTCAGGCGGCTTTCTGATTATAGTCCTTCTTGATTTAAAGATTCAGGGAGACGCTCATTTATTCTGAGCTTCCTATAACAGTTTCTGTGACCACTTCCTTTGGTTGTTCAGGCAATCCCAGTAAGTCTCTCTTGGGGTCAAACTTTCTAAGCTGCCCTTTTTCTCAGAGTGGCTGTACCTAGTGACTCCCTTGCCCTTCACTCTGTAGTTATCAGACTGTGCTAGGTGATGTGGGGGATCCAGAGATGAATCATACTCAGATCCTATCCTCTGGTTTGTTCACCAGAGCCAGGCATTGTGTTACACACCTGTAATCCCAGTGACTCAGGAGGCTGAGGCAGGAAGATTGCAAGTGGAGGCCAGCCTCAACAACTTAGACCCTATCTCAAAATTTAAAAATGAAAAGGTCTGAGGATATAGCTCAGTGATGGAGTACCCCTAGGTTAAATCCTTAGTGCAAAAAGAGAAAAAAAGGAACTTGTATACCAGGAGGGGACATAGACATAAACATAATGATCATACAAGGTTATGCATGAGGGCAGAAAGAGAGCAGCAGATCAGGGGCTTTGCAGGTTCACAAGAAGGAGGGGCCACTTGCAGATGGGGATATTTAAAGAAGACTGTGTAGAGAAATGGTAGTTGAGCTGAGCATTGAAGAAACTACCTTTTCATTATGGACTTTGATTCTTCCCTGTCTAGTTGTGGAAAGCAAACTTTTAAAAAACAGATAAATTAATATGTACTGGGAGCTGAGATTACTTTCAATTCAATTCTTACCTCATGATTAAACAGTTAAACAGTCTTATTCAAGGAGTTATAAAGTAATTAGTGAACATGAATAATAAATTGAACATTAAAAATGAACTAAAGTTGGGAAATTCTATATTGCATTTTTCATAAGAGTGATCTAAGCTAATGTGGCATGGTCTTAAGACTGTTTTGTCTACTGTCAGCTTTATATATAAATAGCTTTCCCCAGTGGTAGAGATAGTGACTTAACATGGAATGAAAATAATCCTTAAATAAATCTCTTGTAACTTTTAAATGCATGCCTTCTTTCATCACCCAGATGAACCCAACACATTTTCTATGGGCCACTGATGTTATAAATTGGCTACTTCTGTAGTAAAATCGGTTCAGTTACAATTAATGTGTTAATGGCATTTAAAATTGCTTCATATTTTTTAACTTGTTGGTGTCTCTGGCCAGCAAAATTATTTTGTTTTCAATTAGACATTATTACTTGAATGTCAAATCATACCTCAATGAGAGAATATTGAGAACACTAATTAGTTTTTCATAAAATACATTGCTTGGCTTATTTATTTATTTTTTATTGACATGAGGTCTCGCTATGTTGCTCAGGCTGGTCTTAAACTCCTGGCCTCAGGGAATCCTCCATCTTCAGCCTTCCTAGTAGCTGGGTCTATAGGCACATGCCATTGCACCTGGCTTGGTCTAATGTTTTAATGCTCAATGCACTGAATGGATCTGCTTTAGGAAAAGCCTTTTGATAAAAGGACTCACCTTTTCCAGGAATTTACAATTAACTTATGTTCTTCCAAGAGATATTACTAATCGTCTCTGCAAAGATGCTAGAAAACATGCTTCAGATCTTTTATCTTTCTTTTTTTTCCCCCATGGGAGGATCTTTGTCCTAAATAGAGAGTACTTTTGTCTTTTGAGATCAGGAATTTATTTAAAAAAAAAAAAAAGGAGAAGGAATAAAGAAAGTGTGGCTGGATGGAAAAAAATATAAAGACTGTAATTAATTGCAAAGCTCAGATGTAACTTACCTTGTAAATTAAACTTAATGTAAAGAAGAACATTCAGATCTGTCCAATGATGGAAAAGAATGCCTTACCAGTAAGCCAGTTTTCTGAACTAGAGAGAGAGAGAGACAGGCACTCAAATTTAAGCTGGATGACTACTTAAGGGAGAGTCCTGGGGTTGAAACAAGAGATTAAAGAGGAGTTGGACCCCATGCAGAGTGGTGGGCCTGGTTGTCTCTTGGTGTCTTTTCAGTGCTCAACTCCTCTGATGGAATAAAATATAAGAGGCATTATTATTGACTTGTATTTTTTGCTGCTATCTTCTCAAGTTAAAACTTAACATTTAATACATTTCTAGTTAAGAAATATTTGATAACTTCTGTTTGGCCACAACTCCACTACAACAATGTGTGGCTCTGAGCCAGCTAAAGATTCATTCGTGATCTATTGACTACACGGACTGACCTTGCTGCATATGCAGAGTTGGAGCAGTTCAATATGTAAAAGCAAACCAAACAGTGATTGTATAAAAATGCTTCTTGAATTGTGTACTTTTGTGATGTATTTGGGAAGAGATCAGAGGACAGCTGAAACTTGTTACTACGGCTGGGTGCAGTGGCGCATGCCTGTAATCCCAGTGGTTGAGGATTTCGAGTTCAAAGCCAGCCTTAGCAAAAAGCAAGGTGCTGAGCAACTCCTGAGACCCTGTCACTAAATAAAATACAAAATAGGACTGGGGATGTAGCTCAGTGGTTGAGTACCCCTGAGTTCAATCCCCAGTACCACACACATACAAACACACCAAAAAAACAAACAAAAAAAAAACCAAAAAAACCTTGTTACCAAACTTCTAAATCTTACAGACCTTTGCACTCCATTTAAACCTACCCATCGTTAGTGAATGTACGAAGATGTCACATTGGTAACAGTGCATCTTCCTCCTTTAACTGTATAGCAGTTTGTGTGGAAGATTGTGCTAAGATCATACCTGTCCATGGACCCATGCTGTGAAAGGTTAGATTCTTTTTTGAGCTTTTTTTCATAATTTTCATTTCCAGAAAGATTTTTTATTTGCCCATTTAAAAGGTTTAGATTTTATCACTCTCTTAATTGTCATGAATACCTTATAGAAAACTATTAATAAAAATAAATTAATATTCTCTAGATTACCTTGAATTTTTTCTTATAAATGCATCTTAAGTTGTATATAGATCATGTGTATGTGCTAATAAGTGGAAATGTCATGAGAGCTGAATTGAGGGGAATCTCACTGGATTATTTAATACTACTCACTGAGTATTAAATAATACCCAGCCGTAGTAACAAGTTTCAGCTGTCCTCTGATCTCTTCCCAAATACATCACAAAGGTACACAATTCAAGAAGCACTTTTATAAAATCACTGATTTTATCTAGTCATTTCCAACTGTGATTCAATACTTCCCTTTAACTCCTTCCAGAAACTCCAAGAACATACTGCTTCCCAGATACTTTAGAGTTCTTGTTGATGTATAGAGCTGTTTATAGGCCTCCAGCACCAAAAATTGGCTCCAAACCTTTTCCCATTACATCATCACCCACTAATGTCATTATACCAGAGTGAAGTCTGCTTTGAAGATTAAACTTCTGTTTTCCTTCCATTTTTTCCTCTCTCATTTTCTTTGGAAGGAAAAGGGGAGGGAGGTCAGAGACCTGAGACAAACATTTTTGTGAACTGAACATCCTTTTAGGCTAAGCCTAGATTTGTCAGTCTTCAGTTTCATTCTGCTGATGGAAACTGATCTGCCAGCATGCATCCACATGGAGTCTGGAAAGTGACACGTTTGATCATGTGATACCTAGCTTTGGTGCCTTTTCTTTCAGTCACTCAGAATTAGTTCTAAACAACTTACATAGCTCTCTGCCAGTATCCTGTCACTGGCATGTTAAGCCTTTTCAAATAATTCTCTGGAATAGAAATTCTTAGGAGATCACCAAGTTTCTCGTTCTTTGTGCCTAATTACAGTGTTGCTTGCATTTAACTGTTTGTCAGATAAGCATTTAAGCAATCTGGAAGATTTTTTTTTCTTGTTTCCCTCCATAATTTTTTAAAGACATTACAATATTATCTACAGTTAGAACTAATGTGGGGATTCATATTTATCACAAAACACTTGACCAAATGTAGGTTCTGTCTCTCTTTATGCTAATTTTAATTCACCATTATTTCAACTGTCTTTAAAGCTTCTGTTTGCCAGTGTGTTATGTTTGGCTTTGTGCCAAAAAGCAAGGTTCTCGTCAGGAAAGATTTAGGAAGTAGGTAGTTTCAGTTCAGACTTCATGTCACCCACTTAGTTATTGACGTGGTCTTTTTTTTTTTTTAAATATTTATTTATTTATTTTTAGTTTTCAGCGGACACAACATCTTTGTATGTGGTGCTGAGGATCGAACCCGGGCCGCACGCATGCCAGGCGAGCACACTACCGCTTGAGCCACATCCCCAGCCCCTTGACGTGGTCTTTTGCACTTTTATATCTTTGAGACAGATTTGCCTTAGATTAGAAGTAATAATAATTACCAGTAACTTCAGAGAAATGGACTCCAGTATCTGAAACAAAAGAATAAATTTGGTTCTTATTTTAAAAGATTTGGGGGCTAACATTTTGTTCCATATTAATCTCTGGGGACCCTTAATATATCTGCTGCAAGCCATGACTTGAAGTTTGGGAAACCATGGAGAACCTGAAAAAGCTTTGAAAGTATAGTAGACTAGGGCAACAAAGTCCTTTCCCCGCTCCCACAAGAAGTTAAAGGTCTTGATGTATATTTTGATTTTCTAATTAGAGCTCCTTTGATTTTCTCTTGTGGTGGTGTAATCTAAACTGAAGGGAAAACTTTCCTCCTAATTTTTTCTGCTAAGATTTGAATCTGTGCCAGAAATCTCTAGTAGAGACAAAGTATATACCTTATCAGACTGAAAAATTAGTGAAAACATCTGTAAAGAGAGAGAAATTACTAACATGGACAAAAAGTCTGACTTTATTAATTTCTAACGTGTCTCATGTCTGTGTGGTTTCAGTTATCGAAATGTCCACAGAAGGAGGATTTGGCGGTACTAGTAGCAGTGATGCTCAGCAAAGCCTCCAGTCCTTCTGGCCTCGTGTTATGGAAGAAATCCGGAATTTAACAGTGGTAAGGAAAATTGGGAAACTTCTAAAGATGATTTAAAATACTTGAGACTAAAACATTTTCATTTCAAGCATATTTACAAAGGCATCCTACATTCCTGACATAGTATATTCCTGTATGCGAAAATGAAAATATCACTTACCTTAGGTAAGGTAGCTGTAAGTGTGTCCTATATCATGTTAGTGGTGTTTTTTAGGTGTGTGGGTGTGTAATGGATACTTTGATTTGGATGTTGTTGTCTGACGTGAGATATATCTTTTACTAGAAAAGCAGGGATCTTACCTTCGTGAAGTTGATATAATTCATTGCTTTCTTCTTCTTTTTTTTAAATAGTTCATTTCTTATTGCCTAATTTAGTGGCCCTGTAAATTTCTAGAACTTGAGGGAAATAATTGACAATTTATTTAAGAAATTGGTTGTGAGGCAGACACTCTTTTGAGGTATTAGGGGCTAGGGCTGTGGCTTAGTGGTAGCGCCCTTGCCTGGCATGTGTGAGGCACTGGGTTTGATTCTCAGCATCACATATAAATAGATAAATAAAGATGTATCAACAACTAAAAAAATATATATATTTAAAAAATTTTGAAAAAAAATGCATTTAGATCAGGGTTTCTTAATAGCAGCATTATTGACATTTTTAGCCAGATAATTCTTGTTGTGAGGGGCTGTCTTGTGTACTATAGGATATTTAGCAGCATCTCTGGCCTCTATTCACTAGATGCTAATAGTATCTTCTCCAAGCTGTGACCACCAGAAATGTACCAGATATTGGCACATGTGCCTTTGGGCTAATATCATCCACTATTGAGAACCACTGACTTAGAAGAATCCAACCTTGTAATTACAGCCAGACTAATTTACTCAATAAGTATTTATTAAATACTCACTGACTTGGGCATAGTGATGACTCCTGAATCAGTAAAAGGCAATGTGCTGAGGGAGTGCAGAAGTCATAGTGCTTGCTTCTTGCTGGTTGAGTTAGGGAAGGCATCAAGTAAAGCCAACATGTTTGTTGCATCTTGAAATATGAATAAGCATTCATCAGATTAAAAGGATGAGACAATAGATCTTAGGCAGTGAGAAGGGGTCTGTAAAAGAATGGAGGCTTAGAGCAGAAAGCTTTTTGTTTAGAGGAGTAGCAAGAAGATTGGAATGCTGAAGGTTCCTACATGAGTAGTGGAGGTTGGGGTAGGAGGACAGTCGGGGTGTGAGAGTGGTAGTAGAAGGTGAAACAGGTTAGAATTAGAGTATTTTCAGAGTACATGATCATGTCCTTAATGAAGACTGTTCCATTTGGTATTATTTTAGCAAATACTGAAGGAGTTCCCTCCGTTGAATATGTCATTCCTGCCCTAGAGGTATTAGCATAAGGGCAGAGACAGTACTGAATTCCTTACTGATGTGGAGCTAATATTGCAATTCCTTAGATTTAATGGCTTTTCGTCTCTGCTAAAACAAGATCCCCTTATTTATTTACTCAACAAATATTTTGTATTTATTGTAGCTATGCTGAATTTTGTGGGTCCAGTAGTACGCCAGTAGTACTCAGGGAACATGAGTTCTGTTGACAGACTGAAAACAGGTAACAAAAGAAATAAACCAGGGGCTGGGGTTGTGGCTCAGTGATAAGTAGAAAGAACAAACTAGTTTCCCACTGTGATAAATACCCACTAACTTCAAGGGTAAAAAACTTATTTCAGGGCTAGGGATGTAGCTCAGTGGTAGAATGCTTGCCTAGCATGTGTGAGGCACTGGGTTCTATCCTTAGCACCACATAAAAATAAATAAAGGTTCATCAACTAAAAATATATTTAAAAAAAACTTATTTCATATTCTGAATATACCTGTGGGTGGTGTTTATTTACATAAGGGGTTTTCAGCAGTGGAATTTGGCTTGGTTTTTTCACAGTGGCTTGTGTTCAGAGTAGATTTCCAGTGAAGAACCATTGTTTCTCTTTAGCAGTCTCAAGGTGGTAGTTATTTGTACTGTCTCAGAAAAGAGAGTGGAGGGAATAATGGCATTATAAAGTCAAAAGTGGGATTTTTTCTCAAAAATTGGGAAGATAATCTAATGGTTAAGCTTACTGGGTTTTGGTGTGAGGGTCAGTCTGATAGAAAACTGGCAGTATGGCAGGATTGGCCCATTTTGAAGTCTGCACTAGCTTGGGTTCAGAGACATAAATTCAGGATCAGGCAGGTGGCCAGAGAGGTTTAAGCTCAACACTTTAACTTTTCTGTATCCCGTTGAGCTTTGATTGATTGGTTAGTTGATAGTTGCAATAAAAAAAAAATAACAGGGCTGGAGTTGTGGCTCAATGGTAGAGAGCATGCATGAGGCACTGGGTTCGATCCTCAGCACCACATAAATGTAAAATAAAGATATTGTGTCCACCTAAAACTTAAGAATAAATATTTAAAAAATATAATGATAATAAAATTTACTATCTTATCCATTTTTAAATGTTTGGTTTAGTAGCATTAAGTATATTCACATTTTTGGGAAACACATCTCCAGAACTTTTTCATTTTGCAAAACTGAAACTCTCCCAATTAAAACAACTCCCTGTTCCTCAGACCCTGCTAACCACCATTCTCCTTTCTTTTCTATTAATTTGATTACTTTAGATACTTAATGTAAGTAGAGTCAAATAGTATTTGTCCTTTTGTGACTGACTTATTTCACTTAGTATCATGTTCTCAAGGTTCATCTATGTGTAACAAGATTTCCTTCCTTTTAAGACTTGATAATATCCTGTTATATGTATATACCACATTTGTTTATCCATTCATCTGTTAATAGACACTTGAGTCATTGCCACCTCTTGGCTATTGTGAGTAGTGCTACTATTACCCTGGGCTTTTATTTTTAACCTACTGGTTTACTTTTCAAGTTTGTCAAAAATGCAGATTGTGGTATTGACCAAGTTTTAGCACCTAGACATCTAGTCTATCAGAGGTTTAAAGAGGATTGATTACTTTGAGGCATTCAGTTTGGTTTGGGGTATGAGGCAAAGAATAAAAAGAGTGTTTTTTTTAATCTTTCTTCCATTGATTACTAGACTTCTACTATGTTATGACATCATCTGCTTAAAACAATGTACTGCATATTGTACCTGCACAATAATATTTGAGTGAACCAGACTCTTCCACTTCAGATTTAATGTAAAGCAACATCAGTTACAAGTTTCAGTGAAATGTGATTTAATAAAGTCGGGGTGGTTTTTCCCTTTGTAAGACTCTCTTTTTACTCTATGCTCAGGACTCTAATTTCAGCACATGGAGGCATTTGTTTCTCTGAGTGTACCTCATGTTGCCTGTGCTACTTGACCAAACATTTTGGCATTTCATCTGGGCCTTTCCAGAATTCAGCAGTACTAAAAATCAGACTTCTTCAAATATGCCATAACCTCTTAGGTTGACACCTCAAAATGTTTAACAGATTAAAAAAAAAAAAATCCATTATGCTTAAACCATCCAAACATAGTATAATTTAAAAGAATATGCATGAAGTGTTGTTGTCTCTCTAAGACTGGGAAACATACCTTTCCAAAACCAAGAAATTATAATTTGCTAGATGATGTGTTTCAAAAGCAACAAGAAAGGGTCATAGCTAAAGAGATCATATTATTTCCGCCTAGTAGAAAAGTGAAATGAGGCAGAAATTTACAAAATGCTCCGTTCCTTCACCTTACTGATACCACTCTGGCCCTCAGTCCTGCAAAAGCAATTTATCTTTTATCTCTGCCTGACCATTGTGTTCCCTCATTCTTAAAAGCTCTCTAATTGTCCATAAATTCAGTTGTTATCTGGGATTGAAGTTGGCTAAAAGCCATCCCAAAATGATAGTGTACCAGAGTGAATGTATAAAATACTGTGTATTCCTGCTCAGGCAGAGCTCTAGGAACAAAAAGTAATAGACTTCGTGACGTTAAGTTTTACCCCTCTAGACTTCTTTGACAGTTGAGAAGGCAAAGCCAACTTTGGTCTTTGGATGGGGGTGGTGATGATGCTGAATCTTGATAAATCTAATCCTCCCCCAACTTATTCCCAGTCAGCTGTCAGTTAGCTGTAAATTAATGCCTAAGTTACTTTCCTTTAATTGACAGTGGCATCTTTTAATTTTTTGGTAGCAGGGATTGAACCCAGGGGTGCTTAACCACTGAGTCACATCCCCAGCCCTTTTTTATATTTTATTTAGAGATGGGGTCTCGCTGAGTTGCTAAGTACCTCACTAATCAATCTGCTGAGGCTGGCTTTGAACTCTGGATCCTCCTGCCTCAGGCTCCCGAGTTGCTGGGATTATAGGCATGCGCCACAGTGCCCAGCAACAGGTGGCATCTTTTCATTACTCAGTGCCTTCAGATTGGACAGTTACATTTCTAACACTATAATCAAACCTGATAATATGGTTTAAATGGTTATTTAAACAGGAACTAGGTGGGGACCTCTGGTGGACTATTATAAAATGAACCCTGTGTTGTGGGCCCTTCCTGTAGAGTGGTGCTTCTCAGACTGTATTGTCTCGTTATAGAACCTTGTTAAAATTGTTTTTGATTTAGTAGTCTTTAAGTAGAGCCCAAGATGCCACCTTTATTTTGTGTTCTCAAGTGATGTCATTGTTGGCCTAAGGATGTCACTCTGAGTAGCAAGGCTCTAAAATAAAAGTTCTTAAATTTCACTGACTCTTAGTCAAAAAACTTGATGCCAGGACTCTACTCCCCAGAGTTCCTTATTCATTTGTCTCAGGGAGAACCCAGGCATCTTTCAAAAGATTCCCAGGTGATTACAATGTTTAGTCAAAGTTAAGAATCACTGCTATCAAGAGGATTAGAATATTGACTCTCTGAAGTGCCTGACTGCATAGACCTAGATAGAAGAAATTTGAAACTCTGGATTTTTAAGTACAGCCCAAGAACCATTGACTTTTCTTGGCTCCTACCTCTGATTGAGTGAATTCAAGCATCTTGAAACTTGTCAATTTCAAATTCTTTGTTGTCAGGAGCATAAGAATGTTCTGAGAGAGAATCTGCTCCTTCACCTTACTGATATCACTCCTAAAAGTAGGGGGGAAAAGAAAAGTCAATGCATGTCAGTTGCTCTTCCATTTGAATCAGCATCCAGAGTATGAGTTAAGAGATAGTCACATTAGTTGTAGGTTCACCAGTGACATGGGCAGCATTGAATTGAAGCCAATTTAGTGGCCCTCAGTCTAACAGTAATGGAGGGGCTCCCCTCATCACAAGCTTCTTGTGAATCCTTACATGTGACTGGAAAGCTGGGATAGGATTATAGAGAACTGTGATGTTGCTGGCAGTAATGATCCAACCCCCCCACCCCCCCACCCCGTACACATCACCACACATCTCTCAAGATCCACTTTTCTCACACTGACCCTTGGGATTTTAGGGTTTGGGGATAATGAAAAAGTAGTTTATTTAGCTGGGCACAGTGGTGCATGCCTTTAATAATCTCAGTGACTTGGGAGGCTGAGGCAGGAGAATCAAAAGTTTGAAGTTAATTCAGCAACTTAGCAAGGCCCTAAACAGTTTATCGAGATCTGTCTCAAAATTAAAAAATGAAAAGGACTGAGAATGTAGCTCAGTGGTGAAGCACCACTGGTTCAATCCGTGGAACCAAAATCATCATCATCATCATCATCATCATCATCATCATCATGCCTGGTACCCAAATAATAATAGTAATAGTAATAATAATAACCAAAATAATAATAATAATAATAATAATTAAGAATAATAAGAAGAAATTGCTCACAAAAGAAAAGGTTCAAGCAGAGGCTTAAAGCAAAGCATTTTGTAAATTTTTTGCCTCATTTTACGTGTCCACTAGGTGGAAATGACATGATCTCTTTATCTGTGACCCTTTCTTTAGTTACTTTTGATTGAACAATAGAAATGATCATCCTTCACCTTCTTTCTGGCATTTCTGGGTAGAATCATCATCTTGTGTGATGTGGCACACAAGAAGGAAGAACAGGGATTGATTTCTATGATAAAACATTTTTTAAAAAGTGTCTTCAGAGGCTGGGCACGCTGGCGCACACCTGTAATCCCAGAGGCTCAGGAGGGTTAGGCAGGAGGATTGAGAGTTCAAAGCCAGCCTCAGCAAAAGCAAGGTGCTAAGCAACTCAGTGAGACCCTATCTCTAAATAAAATACAAAAAATAGGGCTGGGGAGGTGGCTCAGTGGTCGAGTGTCTCTAAGTTCAATCCCTGGTACCAAAAATAAATAAATAAACATATATAAAATCTCTTCAAAATCGAACTCTAATCCAGCTTCCTTTTCCTATTGTTCCGCTATGCATTCATTCGGGTCATGAGTCTCAAACTTCAGTAGTCCATGTTTTTTAAAGAGTCATAGTCTCTTTACTTCTATGCTTGCTATTCTATCTGAATAACATTCTCAGCATTTTGCAGATACAGTTCTCATATCTCCCTCCTGTGAAACATTGTCCAACATTCTTCCTCCCTCCAGCTGGTTTACATTGTAGCTGGTTATTTCCTTCTTGGTACTCCTGAGGGAATTTACATCCTCTCCACTAACAGAAGATAGGATTATAATGTTTTTGTGTGACTGTCTCTAATAAATGGCAAGCTTTTCCAAGTTGGCATAGGTTTGCATCATTCCATGGTAGTAGATATGATGCATTCACTATTAATTTGGTTTCATGAATGAGTAAATGAAAGAGGAGGAGAAAAAATAAGAATATAAAGAATATGTTCTGCCGTCTTACCATCTGGTGAAATTTTAATAAACTGGATCCCTAAGCTTCTCCTACTACAGGATTAGTTTTAGTAGAGATTTCATGGAAAATGTTGATACCTAATTTGGAAAAGGAGAAAATGAAAAATTAGTATTTGACAGAGCTGAGTGCTAGCCAAGAAGCTTGTTGGGTTTGCATAGAGAAATTAGATCTTGGTGTAATTAGATATCTTGGTGTACATTTTATCCTAATAGTTGTTCTTCCTTCTGTAATCATAAAATGGATTCTGAGAAGCCTGTTGATGTTTTTCCAGAATGCCTTTTTTTGCATATATTTGAAGTTTTCTTTTGGTCTTAAAAAAAAAAAAAGTTCACTTGTGCTTGTTAATTTCATCACAACTCAAAAGAATAGCTTCTTTTTCCATAATGTAACAATGCAGATTCCCAGGTGATCATGTTGGGTTTGATGAGTCACATTTCAGATCACTTACAGAATCAATCATTTGACACCTAATCCCAGCAGAGATTTTGCTTATTTTATTCTAGGCCTTTGGACCTTTCTCTTCAATCCAGCTCTGAAACTCAAAATTTATTTTTATTTCTAGAATTGCATCTATCATTGGATATATATTTAAACACCAGTAGTTTTAAAATAAAACAACAACAAAAAGAACTTAAATTGTACCTAATTGAATAGTGCTGGTCAAAAAGCTCTTTTCTTAAATTTCGGCAGTGAAATTGTGTGTGTCCCCCATCTCCAGGGATGTTTATTAAGAAAAATCAGCGTGGTTGCTAAGAGGCAGTTGGTAAATTTACCCTCACACTTTTTCCATAACTTTCCACCCACACCCTGAAATAAATTTTAGAGACAAAGTCTCCTTTGCTGCTATGATGAGAAAGGAGCCTCTTTTTAATTTTGTTAATGCAGAGGTCAGAAAGGGCCAGTATTGTACTAGCTGAAAAGAACCATGGATCACTGTGGTCAGGTGTTTCTGGCTTTGGCCCTTTCCCTTATAGTCCCTGAACAGAAGGAAGAATTGACAGTTTAGAGGAATGCTCCCTGAGGCACGTATAGCAGACCAGTAAACTTTCTTGGGAAAAAAAGGCATTTATAATGTACCTTTGTATTGCACTGAGATATAGAACCTGATATTGGTTGGGGCTGCCTTTTATATGGGCACTGTTAAAGGCCATTATAAGTTTTCCCTCAAACCCTGTAATTGTTTGAAGTTCTGTGTGGGTTAAATAAAGAAGATTTTTTTTTCTGTAGTTTGTACTTTTTTCATTTCATTTGTCCCTCTCCCCTGCCATATTTTCTGAAGGAAGAGTCTAAACTAGTCAGTATTTGCTACTTCCTAAGATGCTCTGCCACCTTATTGATTGTCCCCACCTCTTACATATCTCTTGTTGCTCATTTCAGAAAGATTTCCGAGTACAGGAACTCCCACTGGCTCGTATTAAGAAGATTATGAAACTGGATGAAGATGTGAAGGTGAGTTCACATTTATTTTTATTATTCATTCTGAAGCCAAAATGATGGATAGGATATTGCTCATTTCTCTAGAGCTCAGAGTTTAATTTAAAAAGGAAAATATTGTTATTGTCTGTTGCTTTTTGGTTTTATTTGGTTTCTCTCTAAAACTAAATGAACTGAAATTGAACAGTTTTAATTATTATATGCAGCTGCTCTGAAAATTGGGGATCTCTTGTTTTTTTAGAGTATTGAGAAGATGCTGGGTGTTTGGTTTTTATATCAGGTGGCATTGCCTAGTTCGTTTTACTGTGCAGTGTAAATGACTTGTATCATGGCCATGCAGGGTGGCACATAACTTGTAATCTCAGCTGCTTGGGAGACCAATGCAAGAGGATCTCAAATTTGAGGTCAGCCTCAGCAATGTAGTGAGACCCTGTTTGAAAATAAAAATAAAAAGGGCTCAGGATGTAGTTCAGTGGTAGAGGACCCTGGGTTCAATCCCCAGTACAGCAAAAACAAAGAACAGCATGTATTGTCAAATCAACAGGACAGTACCATCATCTTAGCATCTTTTGTTGTTGTTGTACTAGGGATTGAACCCAGGGGCACTTTACCACTGAGCTACATCCCCAGCCCTTTTAATTTTTTATTTTGAAACAGGGTCTCACCAAGTTGTTGAGGCTGGCCTTGAACTTTTGATCCTTCTACCTCAGCCTCCTGAGTCACTAAGATTAGAAGTGTGCATCACCGTGCCTGCTCATTTGGCAGCTTATTGCAGTCTCTGGCTAGTTAATCAGAGCTCTAAGAAATTTCTGATGTTGACATTGAACCTGTTCTGACCTTTTAACCTGTGAGTTTGTTTTATATGAGTGAATATTTGTGAGAAGGTTTCCTTAAGACTGGCCATTTCTATATTCCTATGAGGCCACCTCCCATTACAACTTTTAGGGAAAGAACAGCTCTGCCTCTACCTCATTACCACTTGGAATTAATGGTCTCTTGCATTTAAACAGAAAGCTAACAGTCCGTAGCAATTTCCCCTTTTATTAGAGTTCTTCTTCCTCACAGCAACCTTGTGAGATTTGACAGGATAAGAATGTTTCATTCCATTTTACAGATATTAAAGTAGACACAAAGCTGAAGTAATTTGCCCAGCATGATAGAGCCAAGATTCCAGTTCTCATCTCCTGCTTCTTTAACTCTGGAGCTCTTTGTGTGACTCTTCCCTGCGCAGAACACTCCACCAGGAATTTAGAGACTTGTTTAATTAAACTTGAACTTGGAAGACAGACACATTGAGGCACCTTCATTGCTTGAGCTCTTACTACATACCAAGCCCTGTGCTAGGTACATATATCATCTCATTTGATTCTCATAATAACACTGGAAGGTTATTCTCTTTTTCATTTTGAGAAAAACAAAGCCCAGAAACATGAGAAGTCTGAGATTTTACCTATAACCATTGGCTCTTGAGTTTATTATCTTTCCCCACATTGTCTCTCCTTAGATTAGAACCTAAATCCTACCACTTACTGACTCTGTGGCTATGGTCAAGTCTCTTCCCATTCCCTAACCCCTTATTTCTTTGAAGAGCTATTAAGAAGGTAAGAAAGCACCTTGCTTAGGGCCTATAAGTATTCTTCGTCCCTCTTCCCTTCTCCCTGTTACCTGCTTTGTTCCTATTCATGGATTTATTTTACCTTAGAATCTTCTGAGGCTACCACCTACTTATTTTTTTTAACTCTTACCTCATGTAAGCCATGAGGCAAGAGAATGGTTTAAATGATTTGCTGATGATTGACAGGGAGGGCCTACGTCTGTTGCAGATGATCAGTGCAGAAGCCCCTGTGCTCTTTGCCAAGGCAGCCCAGATTTTTATCACAGAACTGACTCTTCGAGCCTGGATCCATACAGAGGATAACAAGCGCCGCACCCTTCAGGTAATATAGCAGGCTTACATTGGGAAAAAAAGCTGCCTTTGCCTACTTCTCTTGCATGGCTTTGGACCAAAAATTGTTCTTCTTTGGCCTTGTCAGGCATCTTCCTCTGCACTGGGACCCAGGCATACCTTACAGCTATGGTGATACTGTTTCCTTACCAAGATTCTTAATTTCCGAATCTTGCATGATTTTCACAGCTATTGACTGAACTCTTCACTTGGTGAGCCCTCATCTAAACAGAGGCTCAAGTTATAGGATATTTATCTGTTTCCAGATGTAAAAAACTTTTGATTGAGAGCATTGAGAGATTCCAGGAAGGGACAATCTCAGGAAGAATTCGTAGTCTCACTGACTTCATTAGCTTTTTTTGTTCCTTGTCTGTCTTCCTGGAAATCCTTTTGTTTTCGTTTTATTTTTCTTTTAATACAGTAGTCAGCATTCTTATGGTATGTAAAACCCTTGGTGATTGGCTCTGTAAACCCTCTCTTATAATCCAGGTCCCAATTCTGGGAGAAAAAGTTTCCCAAATATAAGAGGAAGGGTTTAACAGATACAAAACTGTGACAGTATTTTAATAATAATGCCAAGAAAGCAAAGTCTATTTTTTCTTCATTTCCCTTTGACTACCAAATTGAAAATACGTGTGTTTGTTTATTTATTCTACAAATTATGGGTGTTTACTGAACACCCATCATGTGCCAGGCACTGTGTAGGCTATGAAGATTAACAGTACACAAAATAGACAAATTTCTACCATGTGAATCCTACATTCTAGTGCAGCCAGATATTGTGGCATAGAGTTAAGATTTGTTTACTTTATGAAAAATTTAAAGCAAAAGAACAACATAGGGGAAATATATTGAACTCTGATGCATGTGAAAATTGCAAAACAACAACCACAAAAAATTGCCCTGAAAAAAGTCTGGATCTAGAGGGATGCTATAAAAGCTACTACTTTCAAGGTCAGTTCTGATTAATGTGCAAAACCCTCAATTCCTTTGAAAAAGAAGATAGCCAAATGACCAATAAGCCTATGAAAAGATGGTGCAACATGATTAATAGTAGGGTATATACAAATTAAAATCACAATAAGATGCTAGTTTATACCCATCTGAATGAAAATAAAAAAATAAAATAAAAAAGATTGACAGTACCAAGTATTGGTGAAGTGTGATATCTGAAACTTACATGTTGCTGATCAGAATGTAAAGTGATATAATCACTTTGAAAAAACTATTTAGCACGTCCGACAAACCTATCTCTACTCTGACTACCATTCTACTCATATGTGGACATTCCTGTGTAGAAATATTTATAACAATCATTTATACTAGCCCAAAACTGGAAGCAACTTGGGTATCCATTAGTTTTTGTATTATTAATAAATTCTAATATATCCACAAAAGGAATTACTATTCAGCAATAAAAAGAAATAAAACTTTATTCCATGTAGCAAGGATGAATCTCAAAAACATGTTAAGCAAAAGAAATCAGGAATAATTTATACTTGTAGAAATCAGAGTTGTGGTTGCCTCGGGTTTAGGGGCTATAGGGAAAAGGTGATTGGCTGAAAAAGATTAGAAGGGAACTTTCTATATTTTTGTCTGTATTGTCTACCTGGGTTTACATTTCTGTATTTTATTGAAGATGAGTAGTAATGAATGTTGTTATTAAAAAAAGATAAAATATGGGAAGCTGGGCATGGTGGCACATGCTTATAATTCTAGCAATTTGGAAGGCTGAGACAGGAGGATTACAAGTTCTAGACCAGCCTCCACAAATTAGTGAGGCCCTCAAAAACTTAGTGAGACCCTGTCTCAAAATAAAAATGACTGAGAATACAGCTCAGTGGTATAACTCGCCTAGGTTCAATCCTCAGTACCATTCCTCCCCCCTAAAAAAGGGGCAAAATTTAAATTTTAGAAAGATAAATTTAGATATATCTGTTTTCAAAAAACTCCAGACCATTTTGGTGTATGTTTAGAGGTGATTATTGTCTCCTTTACCCCCTTTATTCCATCCATAGAGGAGCCATTTAGATAGTTTGAGTAGGTATCATCATCAAGAATGTGACACTACAGTGTACTTACCTTAAATGAGTCCTGGTAGTCTTTAAGATATGCCCTACTTCATTTGGGAGGTTTTATTATCAAGCTGGTTGTTGGCCAGGAGAGTGCACTGGAGTTTTGCATTTCAGTGGCTTGGGGCCATCATAGATACCAGAGAAGGAAAAACCAGAAAATTTCCATCCCCTATTTGTCTGATGAGTCACCTTGCTTAAGGTGTGGTTTGTAAGAAGTTGCTACGGATTTCTGTTAGTGTGTTGATATTTTAATATGAAGAATTTCAAACATAAGCAAAGTTTACAGTGAACATCTGTTTATTTACCAGAAGATTCATTTTACTCTACTTGTTTTATCCCCATATCTAAACTATACATCCATCAAGTCATCTATTTTTAGGAAACTTTTTAAATTGACTTTCCCCTAAATACTTCAGTTTCATTAGAGCTCAGTGTTTTTTCTCATTGCTTTTCTTTTGCTTTAAATGTCTCAGTAAACAAATCTTATATACATAAAATGTGTTGGGTTTCAATAAAAATTTTCTAATTTTATTATTTAAAGGAAGGGAGTGTCATGCTTGGAGAGGAAACCTTATCAGAACAAACCTTGGTTTTGTATTTTTAGTCCAGTAACTCCTGTGTTCTCTTCCTATGCTGCTACTATTGTAGTGATTTCAGCCTTCAATATTCATGTTACAGTAAACCAGATTCAAACCAAGAATTTATCACTGCAGCTTAGAAGTCCACAATAAAAATCATAGTTTTAGAGGGTCCAGCATACATAGATCTAGTGATAAGATTATAACTACTTGTGAACCAAAGACAAAATATTACTTAGGGCCTAAAAATGATTGAATAATAAGCTGACCTTGATAACCACAGAATAATCAAAGACTTTCTGGTTAAGATTGCTGGATTTGTCTATGGTTAGCTGGAGGATATTTTGATAGTTGCATGTAGGGCCCTAGGATGAGATAAAGCAGGAAGACTAGCGATTGGAGGTAGACATACCCATTTTAGAGCATAAGCTAGGTGTATCTCTTTCTTTTTTGATTTCTGTCTTAACAAGTCTGATGATTTGAAGTTCTTAAGTTTGACTGTGCTTATTTCAGTTATAGATGTGGCCAGGGATATTTAGTTTGACTTAAAAGTCATCTATCTTAATTGGAGGTTAAGATGAACTAATTTATCCCCAGGCCAAGTTTTCACTTTGCTTTTCTTTGTTACAGAGGAATGATATCGCCATGGCAATTACAAAATTTGATCAGTTTGACTTTCTCATCGATATTGTTCCAAGAGATGAACTGAAACCTCCAAAGCGTCAGGTGAGCTGGGGAAGGTGTAGCTATGCTGCTGACTACAGAGCCTTGCCATACTGCTGTCAGACATGCCTCTTCTCTTTGCACAAGGCATTTGCTCTTCCTTTTGTTCTTCTTCTTTAGTCTAGATCCATCCTTAACATCTTTGCTACTCATTTATAGATACTTTTAACTCAGTACCTCTGAAGTAGTATTTCGGTGAAAATAGATGAAATTAAATTCAATGAAAAATAAAGATGTTAGTTACAAACAGTAGACTGAAGTGCATTTCAAGGTACCCTGACGAAGTCTTATCAGAATTCTTAATCTGAGATGGGAGAATATTCCCAGCAAGTTAATTTCAGATTTTCAGAAACTGCTTCTGTATGTAAACAGTATTTGGGACAGGTGGGTTTTCTTTTCTCTTACTCTATATTGTGGCTCTTCGTAGTATCCTGGCTGCACATTAGAACACATTTTGGCGTTTAAGAAATACCATTGCCCAGGTTTTACCCCCATAGGCTGAATTAGAATCTGTGATGCTGGCACCCAGGCATAGTACCTTTTAAAGCTTTCCAGGTGATTTTTAATGTGCAACCAGATTTGAGCACCACTACTGTACGAATGTGTCTGCCCGCCCCTTTCTTCTGTCTGCCCCTTTCCAAAGGTCATACCAGTTTTTTTTTTTTTTTTTCAAAGCACTTGGGTGCATGTAGCTCTTAATTGCAGTTGTAATAGACCCCTGTTCTGTGAGACTCATTGTTCTAGGCACACAGTTTGCATGACTCATTAAGTATAATAGAAATGTTTGGGAAATAGTGGCCGAGTCTTAGGAACAAAGCTATACCTTGTTCTACTGGCTTTGTTTTGTTAATAAATTTTAAAGGTTTTTAATGAGTTATTTCATAGAAATAATAAAACAACTGTTTCTATTATCCTTAGAAGCAGTTGTTTGGTGACAGCCACTCTCCCTGTGTTGGCCTATGGGCATTCAAAGTGTAGGACAAGTGGGCATCCTAGTCAGCCTTAATTCTGACTTTGCACAGGGACCTTTGGGTTAGCAAGCCCTGTGTTGCTTCCTTACTGGAGCAGAGTGTGCTTCACTGCGACTGTTTTTTTCTGGGCAGTCTTTGCTACTGTAAACATCCTTGACTGGAAGCTGTAAGTTGTTCAGAGGAGCTTTCAGTCGGATGTTTACAGCGGCAGGCTGCCACGGTCGTCTCCAGCTGCGCATCGGGAGACATTGCAGGTTTGTGCCCCCAGACTTGATTCCTCCTCTTGGGGTGCTTCCCTACTCTCTGAGAAGTCACTATAAGGACTCAGATCACTTCTCTTCCTTAGATCAAACAGTACATACACCTGCTTTCCTTGTCGGAATTTTTTCTTCCGTGTCCATCCTAAGCCCCCTTTAAAAACAAGGTGGTGAGCTTGCTGATGAAATTAAACTTTGCTCACTCTCATTGTGCTAACTCCTTGTTCTTTGTGGGCTGCCTGCTGAATGAACTGGCTGGATAAAAGGGTCTTGTCCTATCCCTTCCTCCAAAGTGCTTCTGGTTCTCTCAGGGTGTCAGAATGCTCTGATCTCTCCTTTAAAAGTGTCTAGCTGAAACAGCTCCTTGCTCCCTAGATTTAGTTCTTTGTAGGTGTTTGAGCTATTGATTGGCATCCTATTTGGGACAGCTGCTGCCTGGCCTTTGAAAGGTTGAGGTTGCTGAAAGCTGGCCTGAAATTCCAAGATAGCATTTTTAATCCTCTATGGACATGAAGTTTTCCCAAGCTCCAAATTGTCTGGCACCTCCTGAAGTCCTTTAAAAACGCCTACTCTCCAAAACTCACCCTTTCTGAAGGAGGCAGCAGTTCACTCTTGCTATAAGCAAATGTACTTTTTTCCTAGTTTGGGACTGGCTGCACAACACTGTAGTGATGGCCTTAAGATGTGATACTGCTCATTCTCTGGCATTATTTGTCAGTCTTAGCTTCTGAATAGATTCCAAGAACAACCCCTCTAGTTGAAATAGCCACTGCCAAAGTTGAGCAAGTTCCCTATTCTGGATTGATCCAATCATTCAGGGATTGTATTAGCACTAGTCAGAATATTGAATTGTGGAACTAAGGCCTGTTTCTTCTCAGAGATGCTTAGGAGTCTCACCTTTTTTATAGTGAAGCAAGTAAAGACTGAAAATAGAAAGTAATTCAGGCCTGACTTCTGCCCCACTAAGCTATGGGTTGAAAGTTCCTCCCTTTTGAAATGTCATTATCTTTTTACCCATTTCTTTAAATCAAGCATAATCATTCTCTTGCTAGCTTATCTCCATTGGCAGAATAATGAGTCTTCATAATGCAAAAGAACCTTATGTATGCTTCCTTCCATCCCAGTGATTTGAGAACAGTCATGCCTTGTCCTGACAACACAAACCTAAGTGCCTCTGCTTGATAACTCATTTCAATGTCCTAGCTTAGTTCATTAACCATCCTAGAGGATGAGTAGGAAGCATAGGAGAGACTCTTTACCTGTTCAAATAGGTTTTCACAAAGGGCATTTTGGCTTCTGGGAGGGATACTTAAAGAGCTTGCTTTTGGGGGAAAAAGACCATATTTAGTGTTAAATCATCTGTAATCAGGGACAGCTGAAGAGAGTCATAGGTCAGGGCTAGGAAGTGCCAGTGTCTCTGTGTTGCCTGATTTCCTACAAGCTGGTTCTGGGGCTCTTAGTCCTCTATACCTTCTCATCACCCAAGAACTTTTCAAAGTTAGGTCTAGACTTCAGTAATTTGTGTTTTTTTTGTAAAATAGGAAGGGAGACCTCTTTAGAAAAATAAATACATTAAACCTACCTCAGCAGCTTTGAAAAGAGCAGTTGGCCTCAGTTTCATGGCTTTAATTGGTATCAACATTTTATCTGTGCCACAGCCAAAACCTAATTGCCAGGCTAACCTTTGTTTATAATGGTGAGAAGTCAAGAGTTGGAATGGATCTGGTATTGTCACTGTCAAGTTTTTCTGGAAATCGAAACCTAGATGAAAATAAAAGGAGATCTCCTTTATTTTCTCCCTCAGTATGATTATGTGAGGGTTAAAACTGTGTGGGTCTAAAACAGAATATATTAACTTAGAAGGTCAGTTTATGTTTAAGGACTTGCTTATGCACCCATAATGTTACAGGTTTCTCCCTAGCCTAGGTGGATGACTATCAGAGAATCTATTATCCAGAGCCCCAAGTTTCTTAAAGGCTGGATATCAGCAGTCCTAATTCCATTATCTGGGTCCCCAGGTATTAGGAAAGCAAAACAATACCCACCTCTATAATACAGGGTATGCCAGCTTTCTCCACACACTATGGCCACAGACTCCTAAAGGTAGCAAACGAAAGCTTACAGACTTTTCTGTTGGTAACAGCTATTGGGTTCAAGAAAATCTATCATACCACCAACTTGAAAAAGTACTTTCCTGCCTCTGTTTGCTTGTCTATGTAAATGTACTCATTATTCAACCAGGACTTACTGAGCACCTACATGGGAAATGGTAGGGATAGTGGGGAGCAAGAGAGGGAGAGAGTGGGAAACAAATGTTTTCCCTTTTAGGACTTAGATTCTAGCCAACAGGCAGTTAATTTGACATACAGATACAAAAATGTGTAATACAGACAGTAACATGGAAGCATAGTTCGGGGTACCTAAATTACTGAGGGAATGGGGTCAATACTAATTTTGTAAATGTCACACTGGGGAGCTTTGAGGCATCCACAGGGTCTCTATACCTTGAAGAAGTATTTTTTCTAAAAACCTAGCAAACTTGGCTCAGAATAAGGAAATGAGTAAATTTAGCTGATATTTTTACTCAGCCAGGCCACGTGGTTGTATGTTGTTGTTGTTTTGTTGTCCCAGGCAGGCATACTATGTGTCACAGGTCACTCCGGATCAGACGCCGATCTCTGTGTGGTCAGGGGCTGACCAACCCCCGACCCTCTGGGCTGTAACCATGTCGTAGTGTGTGTAAACATCCTACACTCTCAGCTGTGAGCTCAAGTTGGCTGGGAGAAGGTTGTTTACTCCTTCTGCCATGGAAAACGTCAGCTGAAGAAGGAACAGTGTCTTCATTCTGCAAATCAAACAGGATGCGACCTCCCTAGTCAGCCAAGGCAGCACCCCAGCGGAGAGCTGTCCATCAGGCCCCCTGGGTTGCGCTTCTATGGCTAAGTACAACCAGAACCAGATATGACACTGGATAGACATGTCCTCAGTAACCACAGAACTTTCAATGTCTGTGAAAACCTGGGCACTTGCCTACTAGTGCGCTTGAATCTGACATTTGATTCTGAAATTCTAGCCCAGAAAAAGCCCTGTTTCCCTTTACCTTGCCCAGTCCCTCTTAAGCGGGTGGGAGCAAAGTAAGAAGAATGCTGTCTGGTTGGGAGATTGAGGACCAGCCTAAGTGGCAGGATGTTTAGTTAGTGTCTTCCCCAGCACTGGCAATTAGCACTGTTCTCAGATCACAGGCCTTGCCAGCACTTACTGACAAGCACTGCTGGGGTGTGATTTTTAGTTACGGTAGTTATTTGCCCGTTTGCAACTCATCACACATTGGGTGATTACTCAGTACCTCAGAAAATTGGCTGTATGTTTTGTGAAGCCTATAGAATCTGTTATTTTTAGTTTGATTTAGCACAACTGGTCTCTTCGAATTCCACTTTCCTTTGGCTTCAAATGTGGAGAGCTCAGCATTCAGGAGGCAACTGCACACAGCCTCTTTGGGGAAGAATGGAAATTCACTGTGGCGGTTGCTGAGTCGGTTCTTTTCCTCTTACCTGCCTGTCCTTCCACCCCACAGGAGGAGGTGCGCCAGTCTGTGACTCCTGCCGAGCCTGTCCAGTACTACTTCACGCTGGCTCAGCAGCCCACTGCCGTCCAAGTCCAGGGGCAGCAGCAAGGCCAGCAGACCACCAGCTCCACGACCACCATCCAGCCTGGGCAAATCATCATTGCACAGCCTCAGCAGGGCCAGGTCTGTGAACTGCTGAGGGCATCCACCCAGCAAGATGGTGCCTCATAGGTGTGGATGGGGAAAGCCCATCAAGGGCAGAGAGGCAGCCAAATCATTACAAAGCTGGATTTGCAGTCTGAAAACCTGAGCATTGCCCCAGATTCAGTGATGAAAGCAACATGTTACCCTAATCTCTCTTGACCCTGTTTTTCCTCTAGATTATATGAAGAAAATACATTGTATAAGATATTCTCCAGAATTCCTATGAACATAGAAATTTTAGAAAGAAAAAAATTTTCTCTAACATGCCCATAAAGAGCAGTATGATCTTTAGTAAAAGGGCTTTTCAGTGGACTCCATTTCTCTTTCCCTCTATATTTGTGTCAGGTAACCTTCTCTTTTTACAGTAGTAATCAGAAGATTCTTTCTCTTCCCCAAAGTACTGTTGAGAGAAGTATCATCCATTGGGAATCTTAAGAGGTTATAGAGGGCTGGAGCTATAGCTCAGTGGCAGAGTGCCTGCCTCACACGTGTGAGGCACTGGGTTCAATCCTCAGCACCACATAAAAATAAATAGAGATATTGTGTCCAACTACAATTAAAAAAAAAATTTTTTTTTAAAAAAAGAGGCTATAGAGGACATAGTTATAATCTCATGTGGACTTCTTCAGTCAGAATCAAGAACATCAAAATAGCAGTTGAAGCCCAAGACCCTTTGAGATCCAGAGATGTCTTGACATGATTTTTAATTCAGAGCAGGGAGAGGCCATGTCCAAATAGGATGGACCTGGGGATGTTAAGAGTGGGAGTCCAGTTGTAGTTTAAAGAGCTCCACTCACCTCCCACCAGAGGAACCAGATATGGTGGGCTCGTTTCTCTGGGTAATCTGTGAAAGTCACCTCAGGAGCTAAAGTTTTGAGAGTTGAACGAATGAATGACTATTTTGACAAATAGTAAATTTTTATCTCTCACAAAAGAGTTAAGTTTCATTAGAGTACAAGCCACTAAATGCAAGAGACACAAAATCTGCCACGTTATATATATTAGACAGAAATGTCTTAAATCTGAGATTGCCATTTCTAGAAAATTAAAAGCTATTGCTTTACTAAATTTTAGTAATAAGGGTAGGATCAGTTAAGAGTCAGTTCTTGACAGCATCTTGTATCCTACCAGTAGTCACCTTTTCCATGGGAAGCTATGGTGGTTGAGAGCAGTCATCTGGCTAGTATGGGCAGGAGTCCCTGTGCTTCTTGAATCGGGGAGAAAGCCATTCTGCACTAGGCCCAGCCTCAAGGATGAGCCCAGGTGCTTTATTTTCCTTTCCTTGTTTTGTATGCCTTAGAAAGAACCCGGGACCCTAACTCAGTAAAAATTTATATGGACCCCGCTTTCTATTTCATTTTGCCCTCCATATTCATCTGCTGTGGCTTGACTTTGGCCATTTCTCAGGTGAACTATCATGATTGCTTTTGATTTTTTTCTGTGCCATATGTGCCTTAACATCATTGAAGGGACTGTGACTAGTGGCCGCATTTGAAGCATGGAGGCCCAAGCAGATATTCTGTATTGTGAACCTAAAAGTCATTGTGGGTTTCTCAGCTTTAATTTCTGATAGTAGCTTTTTTAGCAGTGCCCCAGACCCAAAGGACTCTGTAGGTTGAGTGTTATTATTGGTGTTAAAATGAGTTTAGTCATTAATGGAGACCCGTGGTCATTCTAAACTTTGTTTTGACTCTTCCTTTTAGACCACACCAGTGACAATGCAAGTTGGAGAAGGTCAGCAGGTACAGATTGTCCAGGCGCAACCTCAGGGTCAAGCCCAGCAGGCTCAGAGTGGCACTGGTCAGACCATGCAGGTGATGCAGCAGATCATCACTAACACAGGAGAGATCCAGCAGATCCCGGTAAGCCTGCCCCTAGATTGCATGGCTCTGTTCTCAGCTTATGATGGGAAATACTTCAAGATTTTATGTATCATATACTTGAAATTTTGGGTATGTGCTTTTGTTGTTGTTGTTTTTATACTGAGGACTTTACCCAGGGTTGCTTTACTACTGAACTATATTCCCAGTCTTTTTTATTTTCTGAGACAGGGTCTTGCTAAGTTGCTGAGGATCTTGCTAAATTACTAAGGCTGGCTCAATCCTGTAATTCTCCTGCCTCAGCCTCCCAAGTTGCTGGGATTACAGGTATAAGCCACAGCACCTAGCTGTGCTTTGTTTTTAACCTGTTTCCATTATACCCTGTGCCCCCACCCCAGTGTGCTTCACTGTGTTTACTTTTCATTTTGCATTAATTGATTCATGGAGTGGCTCCTCTCAATTTCTGCTCACTCCACTTATACAGGGAAATGATTATAGCTGCTACCCGATGCTAAGGCCCAAAATCCTTGTGAGACAGTCCTAACCTTTGATTAGCAGAGAATAAGAGGGAGGTGTATAGGGAAGGCCATAAATAACACTTGTTGCATATTCATGAGTCAGTTCCCAGTGGAGCCTGCAGCAAAGTATATTTTTGGCTTTCATTTAACTTACCCATTCCTTTACTGTAGGCTGTAGCTTCCTGTGTGCCTTGAGGGATTTCATAGATTTGTTGCTTTTTTACTTACATTTGTTTCTTTGTTTAAAAAAAAAAATAGGGGTGTGTGTGTGTGTGTGTGTGCGCGCGCGCTTGTGTTTATGTATATATATCATTGCTTTAACATTTGTAAACTATGTATTGGTCAATTTGCCACCAAAAACTGGAAATTGAGTGGCAGAGAGCAGTGCTTTTTAAATTTTATTTTAATAATTAACTAATTTTGTAATACTGTGTCTTGAACCCAGGGGTGCTCTGCATCAGAGCTACATCCCTAGCCTCCTTTTTATTTTGAAATAGAGCCTCACCAAGTTGCCAAGACTGACTTTGAACTTGGGTTCCCCTCCTTCAGCCTCTGGTGTAGCTGGCAGTACAGACATCAGCCTCTGTGACTGGCTTTAGTGTAGTCATTTATGAAATGTAGGCCGATAGAAACTAACTTTGACTTGGTTGGCTACCTCCTCTTTGAAAAAAGCTCAAAAAGTATCCTTAGCTTAGTTTTAGGAACTTCTTACGTTTCAGAGTAATAAACCAAGAGAAAGCTTAGGAAAGTGGTGTGTGTATGTCTGTCTCTGTCAGTCACACAAACACACATCATCAATTCCAGGTGACTGGGCTCTCTCTTCCTTTCTTCAACCAACCCCAAGACCTCGATAGTAGTAGTTAGCTTGCTTTCTTTCTCTTTCTCTCTTTCTTTCTTTCTTGCTTTCTTTCTTTTCCTTCCCTCCCCCTCCCCTTTCTTTCTTTCCCAAAATAAGGTCATTTAAGCCAAAGATGAGATCTCACTTTGCAGTAATTTTAACCCTCTGCAGCACAAAGCTTCTGCCCAGATTTGTTATAAAATCTACCACCTCATCTTCACTGATATAGACATCTTCTCAGGAACCTGCATTTCCAGACTTTTCAGGCCATTCAGCAGAGTGCTTGTAATTTAAGTCATGACTTTGGGATGGAAACTTTACTTCTCTTTTTTTTTTTTTGGTGGTACTGGGAATTGAATCCAGGGCCTTGTACATACAAGGCAAACACTCTACCAACTGAGCCTTATGCCAGGCCCCCTTTACTTCTCTTTTGAAAGCCCAAGGTTTAGGCTTATTTGCCCTGTAATTAAGTTAAAAAAAAAAAGAAGGAGAAGAAAGAAAAAGAAAACCTGTGAGGAGCATCTGACCCACCCTATCTTAGAGGACTAAGGGGCAGAGCATCACCAGGGGTTTTAACCCTAAGAAAAAACTGCCTCACTGTCTTCGAACTGCTTGGAATCATTTGGCTTACAGCTTTTGGAATTTCTGCAAAGGCCCCTTCCTAGCAAGAAAATTTAAAATCCCTGTGGCTGTCCAGACACCTGCCTCCACTTCTGGGACAAGGCTTTAGCTTTTCATAAGATTTGGTGTGAAGCTAGGCCTGGCACCAGAGATTCCCAGCAGCTCCTCTTGACATGGTCTCAGGAAAGAAATGACTGTGGGTCACAATATTCTTGTCCTATTTTCCTTTGAAACAGATTCTTTTTTTTTAAATATTTATTTTTTAGTTTTTTTAAGTGGACATAATATCTTTATTTTGTTTTTATGTGGTCCTGAGAATTAAACTCAGTGCCTCATGCATGCTAGGTGAGCGCGCTACCGCTTGAGCCACATCCCCAGCCCTAAAACAGATTCTTAATGGGTACCTCAGGCAGATAGTTCTGAAATGGTCAACCAAGCACTGTAACTACTGAGTTAGTTTTTCTGGGTGTTTGAAACTTTTGAGGCTGGAAGTTTCAGAGAACTATTTAACACTGCATGCAGTAGTACTGCTGCATCCCATCAGCTTTTGCCTCAGGGAAGTAAGATTCCTGCAGTGAAGTTAGCTTTTGGAGGCCAGAAGGAAGTGTGCTCCAGGACAAAGAGGCATGAAGGGCCCATCAGCCTGAAAAGGCTCCTTCCAAAAGCAGAGACAGACTAGGCAGCTAGGAAGGTAGTTTTGGGGCCCACAGATAGAGATAGACCAAATCTGCCTGTGCTCCCAGAAACATTTCAGCTTTGAGCCACGGGTGTGAACATCTGCTGTCCTCTGCTGAGCCTTGGTCTTCCCTTCATCCTGGCTCTAAGCGCTAATACTTTCATGGCACACTGGAGCGTTAAGAGCCTGAGTTAAAGCTTTTAGCACACAATTAAATGCAGCCTGTGGTATTATTGTATTATCTGAGATTTAATTGTAAGCATGAGAGACTCTTAAGGGCACTTTTGTAGCTTTGTTTTCCCATGATGGGGTTTTCTGTGAGAGGTTTATTGATTTTGCTTCCCCTTGGGAGGTGTTTGGCCAGAAGCTAGTGCTGAACACCCAGGATCCTCAGAGTCCCACAGACCCCCATTGATCATGGCTTTTGGGAACAGAGGTAATAAAGCAGGATAGCTTTCTCCTCACAAGATGTGTAACATGGAGTTGGGCAGTACTAGAGCTGTAACACAGGATGACAGCCATATCTTTGGGCTCCTAGCAGACAGTGGAAGTCTTCACAGTATTGGGAGGTGTGGAGATGGAGGGCAAAGAAATCCACACTTATTACAGCCATTCTGACAATGTTAGACAGATTTTAAGATTGATTGCTTATATAAATTTTGATCATATAGCCATGAGCCAGCAGTTCTCTTGCAACCATGCTGTTCTCCCATACTCGACAGGATCTACATACCTTCTTTTGTATTCTGTTACTTGTGGGGAGGGGGTGTTATCATTTTGCTTGTTTTGATCTGTTTAAAGAGACTTTTGTTTCACAGCAGCTTTCTTTGGAAGACTAGGGGGCAATACCCATCTCTGATCATGGGAAGTTTGCCTATAGAGATGGCACTCATACAAACTGGTCTATTTATCTCTGCCCCTGACCCAGGTGCAGCTGAATGCTGGTCAACTGCAGTATATCCGCTTAGCCCAGCCTGTATCAGGCACTCAAGTCGTGCAGGGACAGATCCAAACACTTGCCACCAATGCCCAACAGGTATGTACCCCAGAGATGGAGGGCTTGAGTTGGAGACTAGCAGCAGCTCTCTGGCTTCTGGCTAGAAAGGAGCCCTCAGCATACAATTCTCACTACTTTTAGGAAGACACCTCTCCCACTCCCCCAGCCCCCAAAAAAGTCTCTTCTGCCCATGGGACTGATGAGGGTAACTGGAAGATTGAATTCAAAGGGTGTCACTTACATCTTGTTCTTGAGGGGCAAAGGAATGTCGGGAAGAACAAGTCAGGAGGATACCTGAAAGAAGCCTAGTAAGTGCATGTGCAGGTCAGGCTGGAGGAAGCCTAGTCACTGGTCTGTTTCCATCTTTAAATCTGAATGGCTGTTGTGTTCTGGCACATCCTCTGCCCTCTGGAAAGCTTCTTAGAGTTTACCCCACCTCTGCATGTATCCTCAGCCAGAAGACTTACCCTCTGTCTCCTCCCTTACCCTATGATACCAAAGGCTGTTAGTCAAAGAGCCAAGGGGGCAGCCCCCCTGGCCTTGGGTTGAGGGTCGTGGGCATCATTTGCAGAGGATGGGGGACACTGTTCAAGGGGAGTCATTGTTAATGGATTCTTTGCCTCAGACCCAAAAAAAGCAGCAATCGTTTAAGAGCTGGACCTGTCTGGCCCAGTTGCATTTTTGGTGATGCATCTATTGACAGTAGTGACAGAGCTGAGTTTGTAGAGCAGGTCTCCAAAGATCTCATTTGAGAAAATGTGAGGAATGAGCCAAAGCAAGGCTTCTCAGTTCCATACAGTCTCTGGGATCATAAAAAGACCTTTTCCTTACCTACTTCCTGCACATCCATGAACCATGCGGGGCTTTTCCATGGTATTCTTGGAATTCATACTTGCATCTCAATATTGGTCACACCTTTGGGTCCCAAAATCTTATGAAATGAGAAGAGTTATTGGTTCCTTAGAGGTCAGTTTGGGATATAGAACTATAGTCAGAAAATGGGGAGAGTTGGCTAAAGAAGGGAGGATGCAAGAAGAGGGGTACCTGAGGGCAGTTAAAAATCTCCATAACAGCATGTAATTGTGATAAGCTGACATCAGTAGGTGCTCAATAAATGTTTGTTGCATGAATGCCAAGTAAATAATATGTATACGTGATTTAAAGGTAAATGAAATTTCCTTCCCAGCTGCTCTATATTGTCAGTCCTACTGGCCATAGGTCAGTTAACCTTTTTTTTATATTTAAGTTTTAGGTGGACACAATATCTTTATTTTACATTTATGTGGTGCTAAGGATCGAACCCAGTGCCTCATGAATACTAGGCAAGCACTCTACCACCGAGCCACAACCCCAGCCCCATCATAACCTTTTTATGAGGAGATTTATCCATTTGTTTCAGATTCAATTATTTATTCTGCAGAAATTTCTTTAATTTTTACACTGGCGATATAAAGAGTTCAACAGCTCTTGCTTTTGAGTAGCTTATAGATCTGAAGGAGAAGGAAAAATAGTAAGGAATTTTTATGAGGCCTTTTATCACCTGTCCCCTTTCTTGTTCTTCATAGCCCCCTGGGTAGGCTGCAGAGGTTGTTTTTGTCTGTTGTGAGAACATTCAAGAGGACCAGTCTTAACTTGCAGTTTGACTATGATGAGTCCAGGAGATGGTACACAGAGACCATTGCTCACCCTATGTTCCATAGACATACACACATGCATAGGCTCTGGTCTTCTATTTAATTTACCAAGCTGTTCCCAGTAGTGTGTGATACGGTTCCACATGCCAGTAAATTTATTTTAAAATCCCCACATAAGATTTTAAGTGCATGTGATAAATGTTTTTCTTGCTGCACCCCTTGTTTCTCCCCTCTCCTCCTTCTCTCCCTTGACTGCACATTACCTCACTCAGAAAAAGCACTTCATAGGCTTTTCATGAGGACCACCAGGGCCAAGGCCACTGCTTACCAAGGTGTTTCATATTCCACTCAGATAAATCTGGGTCATAGGTTGGTTTGGAGCCCATGTTCCAAGGATGAAAGGGACCACTCACCACTTTGCCCAAACATTTTGCCCTCACTGGCTGATAGATGGACTCTTAGGGTTTCTGCCCCATACTATAAATGTTATTCCCTCTCATGATAAAACCACAGAGCTAGGTGTTCTCCTTGAGCCTCAGACTTTAAAGTGAGGGGAGAGTTGCAAGATGTGGACATTAAGGGATAAGAGCCTGATAGTTGTGTCTTACATGCTCCATTGTTCTTCATGTACCTGTGTGGTGCCAACTCTGGATAGCTGGGTGATTGGGAGGGACTCTTGCCCTCATCAAGCATCCTTTTTATGCAGGCCTCGTTCTGGGCACACTTTGTAGGCGTTGTTCCTGATCTTCGTGGTGGTGGGCTGACATGCAGCTTATTTGCCTACTCTACCATCTTGCTTTCCACAGATCACACAGACAGAGGTCCAGCAAGGACAACAGCAGTTCAGCCAGTTTACAGATGGACAGGTAGGGTACCCAACCTGGGCAGGTCAAAGGGCAAGGAGTGGGGGGGGCGGGCGGGGGGGGCGAGTTGTGGGTGGTCTGTGGGTTTGGATGGTTAGAGTTATTGGCCTATTCTCTGTTAACAACGAGGGGACAGAAATTGTTAAAACAAGTGAAATCTTTAAATCAGGCATGTATCCTTTATATTTGTAGGCATGTGGGAGCTAGAACCACTCTTAGACACTGTATAGCCCAAATGGCCATTTTACAGAGGAATAAACTCAGCCCTAGGGATGGGAAGTGCTTTATCCAACTGTTGGTTGTAGGGTAGAATTCAATCTTCTGTTTCCCACTCTAGGACTGTTTTTGTCCTAAGTCCTTATTCTTTTTAATAGCACATATGAGTTCAGCTCATGTGACCTCTTGAGCTCTCTTGATGCCAGGATTTAGTGATTTACAAGGAAGAGCCTTCCTTTTTTCCCCTGCTCTCCCCTCACCAAGTGCTCCCAAAGACCACAGAGTACGTATGTGATAGGATGACTTGTCCAAACTTGTACTGTCCATTGGCCAAGAGAGAGAAGAGCTGGCATCAAAACTCACCACTGACTTCTGCAAGTACCAGATGCTAGACCCTTAGGCCAGGGTTCCTATGGGTAGGGGTCTTAGTTTTGGGTTTTTTCAGGGCCCTAAGAAACCAGAGACCAGTAGGTCCTAACCTTACTAGCGACTGCATGAGCATTTTTTCTAACCCTCATGGGGCTTGTCTAATTGCAGGCCACCTCCTTTGCAGGACCCATGTAAGAAATGCAGGTTCAGTGTAGCTTCAGCCTGAGCCAGGTATTCTGAGGAAAGGAGAAGCAGGGGTATCCTGCTGCCCCTTTCAGTGAGGATTGCAAAGGGGGAAATGCTGACTTCCAAGCTGCTGGTACAGTGGTCGATTGCTTGTGTTTGTCACAGAGGAACAGCGTGCAGCAAGCCCAAGGCTCTGAGCTAACGGGAGAGGCAGAGCCCAGAGAAGTGAAAGCCACAGGAAATGCAACTCCCTGCACCTCTTCCCTGCCCACCACACACACTCCCTCCCACCAGGCTGATGCCTCCTGTGTCTGCTGCTCCCTGCCCCAGCAGAGCGCCACACCTGCTCCTCCCTCTGATGCCTTGCAGTGGGTGGTGGTTGAGGTTTCTGGGGCCCCCAACCAGCTCGAGGCCCATAGGGAGCTGCATGCCCCTCTCCCGGGGGTGACCTCACTCTCTCCTCTCCACCCCTCGCAGCAGCTCTACCAGATCCAGCAAGTCACCATGCCTGCGGGCCAGGACCTCGCCCAGCCCATGTTCATCCAGTCAGCCAACCAGCCCTCGGATGGGCAGGCCCCCCAGGTGACCGGCGACTGAGGGCCTGAGCTGGCAAGGCCAAGGATACCCAACACAATTTTTGCCATACAGCCCCAGGCGATGGGCGCAGCCTCCCTCCCCAGAGGACCCTGCCGACCTCAGCGCCTCCTGCAGGCTAGGACATTGGTGCACTACACCCCACGCCTGTGGGCCGAGATTTTCCAACAAAAAGATGCAATATTTTTTATTTCCTTTTTTTTCCCACTTTTTTCCTCCAAGAAATCAATATTTCAATGTCAAGCTATGTGTCCAATGCTATGAAATGAGAATATTAAATAACATATTTATGGCATTTTCTTGAAGTGTGTGGTTGAAGAAATATTTCTCCTTTGGTTTTTCTTGTTCTGCTTCTCACCGCCACTTGTTTTAGGAGATCTTCCTAGGGGTGCAGAGGATATCCTGATTCTTGGAACAGCTGCTGTCCCAAGATTTGCCACCTTGTTCTGTGTTCAGACAGGGTCAGGTGAATGTGTGCAGCTTCTTTTCTCTCATGCTCTTCTCCCCATCCCCATCTCCATTTTCACCCGGAGCTCTATGTTTGTATCCAGAGGCCACAGGAAACATTCCTTGCATTTTGGAGATGAACTCATTCCCCACGGAGAGCAATGGTTTATTCCTACACCTTTCTCTCCTGGGAACCCAAGGAGACTAGAATTTCGTGTATGTGCTGCCCTCCTCCTTTATTTTATTTTTTTAAATGCATTAAAAAAAAATTGTGCTAGTCTCCTTTGCTGCATGGACTTCAAAACTGCATGAAATGCAATAAATCTCATTTTAGATACTTTAGAGTCAGTTTCTGTGTCTGGGGACATTAATGGGGCCACTTTGCTTGGGAAAGGTTTGTTTGCCCTTGGGTATTTGGAAAGAAGGGGCACCCTTGTGAGAAGGGGGCATATCTGAGCCAAACTGAGGTCCCCAGTTTTACAAGTGAGCTTCACCAAAACACATTTGTTGCTCAGAAAGACCTGCCCAGCTGACCTAACTGGACTGTCAAACAGAGAACTATAGCCCGCTTGGATGAGGGCTGATGGGGCATCTCTCCCAGAGAATGCTGGCTGTATCCTGCAAGCAAGGAAAAAGGATCTAGGCCCTTTGTCAGCCAGCAGCTCATAGGACTTTTATAGCCAGAGACTGGGTCTTGTCCACTGAAGCAAAGAGAATAGAAAGCACCAATAATGAGCATCTTTCTGACCCCCACCATGCCATCTTTACAATCAGAGTGGGACCAGTGGTGGTGAGAATGGCAATGAACTGGGTACTGCAAGGAAAAGCAGGTGTTCATTTGCCATGGTACCATGGGCGGCTTCCTTGATTTGGGGACTGTCTCGGGGCAAGTGGAAATGGGAAGAGGCTCATATTAGATCATTTCAAGTCTAAGTGTGACACTTGAGATTCCTTTAACTATGAACCATGGCAATAGGACTTGAATTGGCATTCATGAAATAGGAAAGATTTCAGGTAACACTTTCTGCCCCCTGTTCATTCTTCCTCCTGAGAGATCCAGGTCTTTCCTACCTATTTAAATTTCTTTTTTTTTTTTTAATTAGTTGTTGATGGACCTTTATTTATTTGTATGTGGTGCTGAGAATCGAACCCAGTGCCTCATGCATGCTAGGCAAGCGCACTACCACTGAGCTATAACCCCAGCCCCTATTTAAATTTCTTACCAAGATTTGGGTCCATTGTTCTGGCCTGCTCTGCCCTTTACTCTCTATGTAGGGAAAGTGTTTGACTATATCTCCTTGTCTATGGCATGTGTCACCTGGTGTCATTTTCTTTAAGTGTATCTTACCTCATTCCACAATAAAAATTGAGTGATTTGCAATGAAAACATAGCACAATGAAATAATAAAATAGGGCAAACCAGAATTAGGAAAAAACAATTGAGTAGGAAATAAGTGTCATAAATAACAAGAACACAAATATGGTGGTCATGAAGACCTATATAGTTAGAATGATTTGATGCTGAGCCTCCTATCACTAAAGCCAAAAGAGGGGAATCAAGTAAGAGATTCATTCACATATGAAAGGAAGAAAACCAACACTTTTTCAAAAGCAAAGATTTTTCTAGTTTTAAGGTTTTGGATACATTGTACCCTTCCATTGTCATCAGGGAAGGTAAAGCAGGTGACACTTATCATCATGAGAAATCAGTACCCCTTAATAGTTCGGGTGGCCCCTGCATGTTTCTGGCTCCCAAGTTAATGCCCTCCTTCTTGTATCCAGTTATTCTACCTCTGGACTTGTCTCTAAAGGGGTCTTCTGGCCTTTCCATCTGTCCCATATCCAAACACATCTTAGTGAGACAATCAGCAAGTTTTCACTGGTGGCTGCATGCCCAACTTTGTGGAAAGAGGCAAGAAAGAGTGAGTGAGCAGGCAGAGGACCCCTGGTCTTAAGACAGACAAGGCAGAAGCTCTGTTATTTAATTTCCTGGGGCCCTCTGTCCCACTTTGCTGCTCTTCCACGCATTGCTGAAAATTCTACCACGGTTGGAATTTCAGGATCATCTATGGGTCCATGTTTTCCCATAGGCTCCCCCTGTTCATTTTGGAGATGTTGCGATCAATTGTGATTGGCAAGCAGCTTCTCTGCTGAGCACTTTCTCTTTAAATTGCCCTGCCAGCAGGGCCCTTCCCGGTGTAAACAAACCCTTTGGTGCAGCCCAAGAGAGCCCCTATCTAATACCCAGCATGATCCCCTTACATCCGGAGCACTCTTTAAACATTTTTTCTAGCATTTGCAACATCCGTCCTCCTGATGATCTTCACAGTGACCCTGCAGGAGAGACAGGAAGATGGATCATGATCCCTGTGTTACAGATGGAGTCATGAGAAGCCTGTTGAAATGAAGTGACTTGTCCAAGGTCATTCCATGAATTAGGGGTGGAGTTGATGCCAAAACACTAAACTGATCCTCTGCATATACAGCTGTTCCCTTGCCAAAGGTGGGATATGTATGTGTAAGAAAGAACAAAATATTGCCAAGTGTCGACTGTCTCCTTTTACTGAGCTTCCCCAAACTCACTGGCCCAGCCCTGAGTGTATGTGGAATAAATACATGATTGGGTTGGTCTGGGGACAGCTGGTAATTGGGAACTTTCTGGGAGGCTAAATACTGAAGGTTGGAGACCCTTGGGTATGAATGGAGAACCTGGCTGGCTCCCTTGCTGCTCAGATCTGCCAGTGCCACGAGGGGGCAGCAGGTAGCCCTCACCTAAATCCTGGGAGGTGCCTAATCCCTCCCGCCCTTTTCCCACCTTGAGACAATTCTAGCAACCAGTAGGGGTGTGACTGTCCCTTTTTCAGCAGGTACAAGATCTTTGGCTTCCTTCCTGATAACAACCTCACTCTTTGAGTGGGGAAGCTTCTGTAGGATAACAATGAGGGCTGGAAACTACCCTTTTCAGAGCATGGCATCATGGTTAGATCTTAATGAGGGCTTCACGACAGCCCAAGTTCATTGAGAGTCCTTCTATTCCCCCAGCTTTCTTCTCACCCTCCTCTCCTCCACCTCCGCCTGCACTTAGTGCTCCTGTCACACCCCTATTACTCACTGGTTCTTGAGCTCACCTCCATGCTTTCAGATTCTGCTCATCCCAGTGCCTGGAATGTCCTTTTATTCCCCTTTTCACTTATTGATCTCCTATACATCCATCAAGACACAAATTCAAACGGCTCTCACTGAGAAACTTCTAATTCCCAGGCAGATCAGCGAGGACTTCTTCGATGTTCTTGTATCAACTTATATAGACTATTACTAGAGCTCACATACACAGTCATTCAGCAAATATTTCTTTGGCACCTTCTGTGTATCCTGCATTGTTTTGGACATTCTGAATACAGCTGAAAGCAAGCCAGATGAGATCCTTGCTATTATGGAGTTCATTTTGGATGTTGAGTTGGGGGTGGGGTTCGGAATTGGAAATGGGAGAAATAGTAAATGCTAGACCAAGTTAGACTCTGAAAATACTCTGTCTTCCTCACAGGTGGTCCTCCTCAAATTCAGGGTCATTTCTGTGTCTCAGGATCCCAGCACAGGGCTTGGGATCAAGAGGGTAACAGTAACTGATGAGTAAGTGAATGAACACAAAGCCTGCCTTGCAGACAAACCGGAGACAGGGACTTCTGCACACTGCACACAATCCCACCTCTACTCATCTGACTCATGATTTTCTCTTGTTAACAGTTTTTTATTGCACACTGACAATATGCTAGGCAGGGCTATTAGGCAGAGATTATACTTTTAAGAAATTTATGTGTTGGAAAATAAAGCTAAAGCTTGGTACCTAAATGGGTTCTTATTTCATCTTCACATCCTTATTAAGTAGATATTCTCCCCGTTTTATAACAAGAGCTTAGGCTCAAAATTGCCCAAGGGCACCAGCTGGTTTCATGGAGCCAACTGCTCCAAAAAACCACCTGTCCCAGGTGGCCCAGCTGCCTCAGCCCCATTGGTCTTGTCTGCTCTGTCCATGATTCTTTTCCTATAGAGAATGAAAGTCCCCTCTCCATCAATTCCTGGGAAAGAGCCTAGCATTTGTCCCATAGTTCCAGCCATCCATAGGCTTTTGTCAGATAGCACTTGACCTCCCTAGAGGAGAAGATCCTAGGGTAGAGATTGAGTACCCAGTCATAATTTGAGCATGGTGGCGCACACGTGGAATCCCAGCAACTTGGGAGGCTGAGGCAGAAAGATCACAAAATGAAGCCTTGCCTAAGCAACTCAGCTAGGCTGTCTCAAAATTTTTGGTAGAAAGGGCTGGGGGTATAGCTCAGGGGTAGCACACCGCTGGGTTTAATCCCCGGTACCACGGGGGTAAAAACAAAACATTCCGAGTCACAGGAGTAACTTGGGCATGGCCTTCTTGAGGAGGAGCCACGCTGGTGGTGTCACCCCTAGGTTGGGTACTTGCCACTACCACACAGCCCAGGAAGAGGGGACAGGAGGGCAGCAAAGCTGGCAGTCAAGGGCAGAGAACATGAGCTGGGCCCCAGCTGGGCCAAGCTAGGCTAGGCTTCTCTGTTTGGCTGGTGCTAAGGTAAGATCTGAAATAGAGCCTGATCCTCCAACAGCCTTGAGCCTCCTGCCTTTCCTTAGTGCCCTGGCCTCCCTGAGCCCTGTGACACCTCTGTGAACTCCCAACGCTCCCCCAAGTCCCTGTGCCTCCCTTGCCTCCCTCTTTTAGGGAAGAGGAACAGAAGCTGACTGTGGAATATAAGCTTTCAAAGATCTCATGCAAGTCCAAATGTCTTTATTTTGCCCTTTGATTTAAATGACTAGTTTGGCAAGATATGGAATTGTAGGTTCACAATTATTTGCCCTCAGCACTCTGAAGTTGCTCTTCCATTGTCTTTTGGCATCTGTTGTTTCTGATGAGAAATTTACCATCAGCTCAACTATTGGACTTTTGTAGATAAGTTATCTTTTGTCTCTGATGACTTTTAGAATTTTCTCTTTATTCTTGATATTCTATACTTTTAACTATAAGGTGTCTGGATGTAGGTTTTTTTTTTTTTTAAGATACTTTACTAGGCAGTCTGTGGGTCTTCTAGATTTAGAAATTCATGTCTTATTTCTGGAAATAGCATGGTCACTCCAGTATCTCTTTCTAAAATCAATAATACCAATGCTGGAATTTTTTGTTCAATATTCTGTCTCATTTGTATGTTTATTGTTCTGTTCTTTGTTCTAGAAGATTCCTCCAGCTCTAGCTTCTAATTCATTAATTCTCTCTTCAGCTGTATATACTCTGCTAACCCATTGATTTTTTAAAATGTC